CTGCTGGCCAGTGAAGGTCTTAACAAATCACTTCCACCTAAAATGACTTTCTCTGAGTTTTTACTGTGAAGAGAAGCTACTCTGGGGACCTCTGTCAGTGGAATTTCCTTATGAGATGGAGGCGGCGTTCCTGGTGACACTGGATTCTTACTCTTTCAAGGAACATGAAAAAGAGATTTATGCATTACCTCATTACTGTATGTAGATCACTAAAAACAAAAACAGACCATAATGGGTGAATCCCAGTAATTTTATAGTGTGAAATCATGCCAATGCTTATCATGAGCAAGCTGCAAACAGGTTAAAAATAGTTTCTGGTAAATACAGAGCAACATGATAATTGAAAATGCTTCCATCAAAGTGTAAACAAAAATACATAATGCAGTGAAGTCCGTATTTACCTTTCCACCCCACCTGGAATCAGTTGTAACACACCTTTGGTTCTCCCTTCCACTGGAAAACTCCAAATTGCTCTCCATGAATTTTCCCATTTGCTTCTCAGCACCGCCCAAACCAAGCTGTTGTGTAACTGTAACGTCCCCGGTGGGGCTCTGGGCGTTTTTCTCTTCCTCAGAGCAGCCCCCACCGGCAGCCACGTTCCCACCAACCGCAGCACAGCCCTTCAAGTATTTCTTGCTTCTCGCGCGGCGTTCGAGACTGGAAGCAGATGAGGAATCTTCATCCGAAGGCTTCCGGCCCAACTCAGCGCTCTGCAGTTCCAGACGCTTTCTCCGACTCAAGATTTTGCTTTGCAGCTGCGCCGCCTTCCTCAGAGCCGAATTCGATCTCGCGTGAGAAGCGCAGAGCTGAGCGCTCGTGGCTCCGGGCGCTTCGCCGCTCCGCCCATTCAGGAACCTGCCGCGGCCCGGCGGGGCTCTTCCCGCCCCCCGCAACTCTGCGCCGTCCCCTCGGAGCTCAGCGCAGGAGCGGAGGAGGCCGCAGTGTCCGCCGGCGGCGGCCGCCCAGCGCGGAGCAGCGCCGCGTCCCTGCCGAGAGAAGACGCGAAGTGAGGGCGCTCCTGCGGCTCGCCCGAGCCCTCAGCTTCCTCCCGTTCCGCACACGTGGCCGAAGCACCGGCGCTGGGGCACGGCGCAGGCCAGCGCCTCACCTGCTCTCCGCCCGCCAGTCCGCGCACGGCCATCATGACGCCGAGACGACCGCGACTCCGCCAGACGCCGGGCCGTATCCTAGAGACAGCAACCCCCCAACATCCCGTCCGCTCATTGGCTGCACGCAGAGCCCCGCCCCCCAGCTACCCTTAGACGTAACCAACCAATCCCAGGGAAGCATGCTGCTCCCGGCCTGTCAGCGCCGGCTACAAGCCCCAGCATGCACCGCGCGGTGCGGGCACGTGCAATCTGCATCTCCCTTGGGGACTCTAAGCCAATCGGAACGTTAGTTATAAAAGCCAGGGAACGCGTAGCCAATCAGGGCCTAGTATGGAACGGGCGTAGGCGCGAGGTTTTGAGGGCCGGCCGGAGGCGCGAAGCCGTTGCTGTGTGGGAGCGATGGCGGCCGGGCCCGGAGCGCGGCGCGGAAGCAGCGCAGTCGGCGTCGTGCTGCGGCTGGGGCTCCTCGGGGCTGTGCTGGGCACTGCCCGGACTGCGGTGTATTTCCGGGAGCAGTTTCTGGATGGAGGTTGTGGGAAAGGGAGGGAGGGTGAGGTGTGATGAGGTGGCTGGCAGTACGGGCGGCGAGCGAGCTCTGAGGGCAGGGAGGGCGGGAACGAGCCGAGCCCTGCCCTGCCCTGCCCTGCCCTGCCCAGCCCATAACGCTCCTCTTGTCTCTCGGTCCCGGCCCGGCAGGCGGTTGGCAGAAGCGCTGGGTGAGCTCTGAGTCCAGGCCAGACCTCGGCACGTTTCGGCTCTCTGCTGGGAGGTTCTACGGGGATCCTGTGAGAGACAGAGGTACGTCGGGGCACGGGGAGGCGGTGTGGGGCCTTCTCAGGATAGCCTGCATAGCACCACTATGTGTGAGGAGGGGAAAAGGCCTTTTTCGTAAGAAAACTGAGGGAAATGTAAGTTTGAATATTATCTTAATACCCTTATAGGTCTACAAACAAGTGAAAACTCCAAGTTCTATGCAATCTCCTCACGATTTAAACCATTTAGTAACAAAGGGAAGACTCTGGTCATTCAGTATACTGTGAAACATGAGCAGAAGATAGATTGTGGTGGGGGATATATAAAGATTTTTTCCTCGGACTTGGATCAGAAGAACCTGAGTGGAACTTCCCCTTACTACATCATGTTTGGTGAGTCTGTAACTACTTCGCCATTGGCACAGCATTGCCACTGCTGTTGTGCAGTTCCTGAAGGATGTTTGTGGAAATTATTAAAAACATTCAGGAGAAAGTTGTTTTAATAAGAATGTTGTGGCTGTAAGCAGTTATCTCTTCTGTACCTGAGATGTCTGAAAGTATGCATTAAATTCTCAACTGATTTGAAGGGCATTCAAATATTTCAGACCTTTACTCAAAACAATGTAGCAGAGGTTGTTATCTGCCCTTAAGCATATTTGTATGCAACTTAGTGAAATTTGTTTGTTTATATCTCAAGGTTTGTTGTTAGGTATCTAATGTGATTAAATAATTATTACATAATCCTTCAATCTATGCCATAGATAGCAACCTGTATTTTTCTGCAATGAAATTAAGGATACAAAGCATGTGATCTCTTTGTAGGGCCAGATATTTGTGGATCTGAGACAAAGAAAGTCCATGTTATTTTAAATTACAAGAATAAACTTCATCCAATCAAGAAACCAATCAGATGTAAGGTAAACACGGGTTTCAAAGGTAAACTTTAGGATAACCAATCAGAGGGCTGAAGAAAAAAACCACACTACTGCAGTCGTATATTGTGACTCTGATGCAAGGCAGTTCCTATAAGCTGTGCTTAAGGCTTTTAAAGTATCTTATTTGCTTTCTTTAAAACCCAGGTTGATGGATATACACATCTGTATACTTTGATCATAAGGCCAGATCAGACTTATGAAGTAAAAATTGATAATGAAGTGGCTGCTTTGGGCGACTTAGAGGATGATTTGGATTTCTTGCCACCAAGGAAAATTAATGATCCAGCAGTGAAGAAACCCAGTGATTGGGATGATCGAGCCCACATCGATGATCCAAATGACGTCAAACCTGAGGTAATTCAGCAGTTTGAATCTATAGTTATTTTGCATTATTGAATTATTTCATTCCTGCTGAATTTGTTTCATAGATTGAACTACTATTTTTGATTTCTTTAGTCTTTCTGTGTCTTTAAAGGATTGGGATGAACCTGAGTATGTTATGGATACTAGTGATGAGAAACCAGAAGACTGGGATCGTGCTGTGCATGGAGAGTGGAGTTATCCTATGGTCAAGAATCCTCTGTACAAAGTACAAATAACCTTGTAGTTCTAGCTTGCTGTAGCACTTCAACTCTTCTTTGCCCAACTGCATTCTGAATACGTGGTTTGTCCTAGGGAGAGTGGAAACCAAGGCAGATTGATAACCCAAACTATAGGGGCGTTTGGCCTCATCCACAGATCGACAATCCGCATTACTCACCAGACTGCAATATCTACAGCTATGAAAACATTGGTGCCATTGGACTGGATATCTGGCAGGTGAGTTGCTTTTACTGCAGATAGTGGGGAACGAAGAACTTAGTTTTCACTGGGCATATGGCAATTTGTTTATCCTTTTAATATAAGTGTTATCTGTTTACCTGCACAACGTGGTCTATGGTGGCTGCTATGCAGGGGGTTGGACTAGATCTCTGGAGGTCCTTCCAGCCCCTGCAATTCTGAGATTCTGCTTTTTTGGGATCTCTGGAGATGACCTGTGTTTTTAACTTGCTTTTATTTAAATGTATGTACAAAATGACAAAGTTTCTAAGATGTGTTGGTTCATAATCCTCTACAGATAAGTGAGGGAGGAGTCCAAACTAATCAGTGTAGGTGTTGCAAAGTGTAATTTGTTCCACCTGTCTAGAGGCTTCCAGCAGCTCAGGTACTCTTGAGCCGCTGAGATTAATGGGATGAAATCTGCCCTCTGGAGGCTGCTCTGAGAAATTCCTCTTCCTCAGCTTTCCAGCCCAGCCAGCAATCAGACTTGGCACTTCTAAGAACAGTAAAGAAAGCCAAAACACGTTGTTTTGAATCTTGAAAACAGCTTTCCAAAAACAAACGTTTCTTCATCAAATTCTGTAAAAGCTTATGGAGTTCTTAACGTGTTCACTGCCTACTGAATACAATACAAACGCATTTGAAAGATGGAGTAGAACTGTAAAGAAAAATAAAGAGGCATCCTGTTATTTTTCCTCCCTCTAAGGTGAGAGCTGGCACAATTTTTGACAATTTCTTGATAACAGATGATGAGGACTATGCAGAAGACTTTGGAGATGAAACATGGGGAGAAACAAAGGTAATGTGTGAAATTCTTATCAGTCTCAGTTCTTTATTGCCACGCTAAGAGTTCTGTCTAATCTGAGCTATGTTCTATTGGTGCACAAAAATGAAATCTTAACATTAGGATCCTGAAAAGGAAATGAACCTAAAGCAGGCTGAAGAGGAGCAGCAGAGACAAAGGGTCACAGAAGAAGAAAACTTTGAACAATGGTTTAAGAAAAAACGAGAGGGAAAAAGAGAATCTCAAAAAGATAGAATAATGAAGAGTCCTGTTGAGAAAGAGGAGTTCTAATTGTTTGAAAGATGCTTGCATCACTCTGTAAGGACTTTGATGTTTTGTTGAAGTCTGCATTGATGAAGCTGTATCAACAGGATGTTTTTAATGGTAATGTTAAATTTGTGAAGTCTTCCAGTTACTTTTAGAAAAATATCATAATACAGTTACTAAATTAGCTACTAAAAATGTAACTTTTATTAAATATATTTTAGCTGTGTGTCATGGTTTTGTGATTTTTGGTTTTCGGTATTCCCCATCATAACATCATGGAGGGCACTGGGAGTTTAACTGTTAATGCTCAAGCCCTGCGTACCTGCCCAGAAGAGAAGAACAACTACATTCCCCAGGGGGCTCTGCCATCACAGAGAGGAGATGTAACTCCTGGCAAGGTCACCTGATGCTCTCTTCTTCGTCTGCTCTTCTTCGTTGGCTCTCCTCCTGTCTTCCTGCTGCTCAACTGGACTGCACGTCTCACCTCAGTGTTGTGGTGAGGCCCATCCACCTTTCGGATATTCTCTCATTATATTTGATTTATTAACTTCAATTCTAATTACATTGTATTATAGTGTGTTATCTTGCATTCCAATACTATATTTAGTAAATGAGTTCGTTTCTCCTCAGGTCGTTGCTGCTGTTTTTAATTATTTTGGGGTCCCCTGTTCCCTTTTCCAGAGGTGCGGATTTTGTGAAATCCCTCCGCCCTGCTGGTCACAGAACCGGGCCGAACCAGCCCTAAACCATTGGCAGGTGTGCTAAGATTCCCATTTTGTTTTGATGTTTTGAAACTTTTTCATGATTTAATATTAAGTGTAAGTTCACGCTAACTTCTGAGGAGATATCAAAATAAGCTTTGTTTCATTAAAGGCTTCGGCATGTCAGATACGTGAAACATTCTCACAACCTTCTTCAAACTGAAGAGATAAGCCTTGCCAAGCCTCTGTAGTAATTACATCTTTTATCTGTAGCTTCTTCCCTTCCGCTCTTCTTCGTAATGCTATAAATCCGGTTCAGTCTGAAGGCAGACTTTGAGCCCATCGCTTTTTGTTTACCTCTCCCAAGCTCTGCAGTCAGGAGGGCAGGGAAGGAGCGGTGCAGGCCTTCCCTCAGCTGTGACCAAACTGAGCTCAAATTCCTGCGCCGATCCGAGTCCTCTGTCCTTTAAGACAATTCCCTGGCCCTTTGGGGTGCAGAGCTTTGACAGCTACTGGAAAACAGTAGGGTGTCATCCTTGACCCTTTTGCTAAACAAATTCCTCTTACGGTAGTTTTTACGTGACCCTGCCTTCATTCAGGCTGCCGTCTGTGAGTGCAGGCAGGAGCTGTCAGCGCTGTACTTCACGCTGAACGTTTGATCGGAGCCGAGGCAGCTTAATGGGGTGCAAGAAGTTTGTTCTGACGAGGCTTCGTGCAACGCAGTCACAAGTGAGCTCGGACGCAGCTCCTGCAGCTCAGCATTCATCCGAGCCTCGCCTCGCTTCCCGGCGCTCCGCTCCCGGCCCCGCTTTGCCCGGCCGCCATCCCCACGGCGCGAGGCGGCAGCGGACCCGCGGCCGGGAGGACGGCCGCCCTCGGGGCGGTGCCGCCCGCTTTGTCCGCGCTCCGTTCGGCCGTTTTCCCCGCCCTCCGCTGGCCCGGCCCCGCTCCGCCTCCCGCCGCCGCTCGCCCCGCCCCCCCCCGCCTCGGCCGCTGCCCGAATCGGCGGCAGGAAGATGGCGGCGCTCATCCCCCTCAGCCAGCAGGTAACCGGCCCGGCCCGCCGGGCTGAGGCTGAGGCGAGCGGAGGGGCCGCGGGCCCGGCGCGGCTCGGGGAAGGGGGAGCGGCCCGGCCCGGCGCGGGTCCTCCTGCGGCGGGAGGCGCGTCCGGGGCCGGGTGGGTGCTGGCCGCAGGCCCGGCGTTTGCCCGCGGCCGGGGGAGCGGAGGGACGCGGCGGGGCGGGGCGGGGCGGCGGCGCGGAGGGCTCCGTCCTGCAGGCCGCGCGGCTCCGGGCGCCGCGGGTTCCTCGCGCTCCGCTTCGCTCCGCCCGCCGGCGGTGCTCCGTCGGCCGGCGCTGCCGGCTGTTAACGCCTCCTTCGGCTGCCGGACCGTCCGCAGGGCGCGAGCGGCGCCGCTGTGCGCGCGGGGCCTCGGGGCGTTGTGCGGGAGCCGGAGCCGCGGGCTGGTTGAGGTGCGGCCCGCGCAGCGCGGGGCGGTGCTGCTGCTGCTGCTGCTGCTGCTGTCACGGAGTTGTTTGGCTTAATTTCCCCCGAATAATTTCAGCCTGAGCGGTGCGATCAGCGTTTGTGCTGTACGTGAAGGCGCTCGGTTTTCTTATGTTCTCCAAATGAAAACGGGAGCCCCGTGAACAAAACAGCATCGTGTCATGGCTAGGCCAGGCAGGGATTCGTAGCAACCGCTGCTGCTAACTCACGTCATTCAAATATATCCATCTCACTTAGCTGTGGATTTCCTGGGAGCGCAGAGCAGCTCCTGACACGTGCAGGTCTGCCATTTGTGACAGCAGAACTCGCCTTTCAACGGAGCTGCGTTGTGTTTGGGTAGCGCTGCTTCGCCGCGTCCCTTGTAAAGGGAAGCACTGCTTTCTCAGCTTTCTGGGGAGCAGGAAGGCTCCCGATTAACATTTTGTCATTAAGTGGACATTCAGAAAGGTCTGATACATCCACGAGTGTGCAAACTGTTGACAGAAGTTTTCAAGTGAAGCAAAGCGTTGCCAAACATATATGTACATGGTCTCTGGATCTGAAAGAGTTTGTTTTTGTACAGGCTAAAAACGCACCGAGTGTTTCTTCTACTCGAGATTGTGCGAATTCTGAGGCTATCAGTCGTGTTTTCTGTTGTATAACATAGTACATTGTCCCGAGGAAAAAAAGAGCCCTTGTGAATATATTCTGTGAACACATCTGCTATTCTGGCGTTATTTTACAATGAATTCATTGGAAGCTGTGCTGAGGGCAGCAAACTGAATTTTGCTGGAAATGAATAAACTTCCTCTGCTAATGGTCTCAATTTCATGATTACTGCAAAGATATCTGCTCGTTACAACAAATGCCAGAAATGGTATTAAAAGGAATAGGAGGGATTACACATCCATTGTGTTGAAGGCATTCGCTCAGATATAAGAATGTTGATGGCAGCATGTTAGGAGCCACAAGCAGCATGTGCAGCTGAGACATGTGAAAGCATTTAGCTATATTTGTTTTAATACACGAATTTAATTACAGTGTTCTTCCTGTTCTATGACGTTCTGTTTTTAGGAAAGAAAATTCAGATGTCTAGCCTGCAGCATGCACAGTGCTTAACAAGTCTCAGCTGTCCTTGGCTAAGATGGCTGTGCACAAAGTTTGAGAGCCAGCGCATAAAATCACTTCTCGTGTGAAGTAACAATGGAAACCGGTTTTGATTTACCTTTGATAACTTTATTATCTTGAATATTTGGTCACCTTATCTCTAGTCTTTCCACTCTGCTGGGCGTGTTTGACTTACAACCTTTGAAAGTTATGGAGAGTTGCATTAGAGATGTTGGAACAGTGCTGATCGTTTTGTCAGTCCGTCCTCTGAGGCAGCTCAGGGTACTCAGCAGGTAAAGTCAGGGCAAAGGTAATCTTTCTGGGGCAGCAGTTGTCTTTTGGCTTTCATCTTTGTGGGACAGTTGGTTTTCCCCTTTCAAAGTACCTGTTCTCATCCACCGTGTGATGTGATGAGAGCAGCCAGAAGAAAGCTGTGAAGCAGGAGGGCACAGAGAAAATGGCTCATCTGATGCAGTGCCCTTTGTGGCCCTGATGCGACCTCAGCAAAGAGGGCTGCTAGGAACTGGTTTAGTATTAGTTTACTAATACTGCTAAACTAATTGGTTTGGTAATTGTTCTGATGGCAGCAGCTTACTGCTGCCTTTTTCTCAGGTCGGTGTTAAGGGACATAGAGACGTGAGCGTGTGCTGCGTAGTGTGATGGGTAGATATGCAGCTATGCTATTTTTATCACTTGAGCCCATTTTGTCTGGTCTGCTTCATCACAAAGATGCAGTCATTTAGGTAAATCAGTCAGAAAGGCTTAATCTTTGTAAAATTGTGCAAGTAGGGAGCGGAGTGATGAAGTGCTTCCAGCAGCACTTGGGTGCATTCAGAGTGCTGTGCGTGAAACCTCCCAGCATTAAGCACATCACCCTGGATTCCTGCCTCCTCTGTCAGGTAAGTCAGCAGTATGTCATGGCTGACAGTATCAAATGAAGATGGGAAGAATGTCTGGTGATCGGGTGAGATCATTCCATGCTGCTGCCGGAGTGGTTTGCTCTATCTGGGATGAATCCAGTCCTCTAGGATGCTTGCCAAATGGTTGGAGGAGCTCATAGCTGGCTATGGCTGCTCTGGGCTCTCAAGAAGTGGGAGGTGTTGGGTTGGGTGTAGTTGGCTAAAGCATACCATGTTTTATTCAGAGTTGGACAGACTGTTTCCTATTTCCTCATCTTTGAATGATGCGTTTCCTACTCTGGACAGGAACACAACTTATCCATGCTGTTCGTTTAGCTGGCAAAAGGATGAGTCAGGCTTATGAGTTATGGCCACAGCTTTCTTCTGAAACTCTTGTCCTGCTTCTGGAAGAGCAAGGGCATCTGGTGGTGTGCAGAATGCAAGGGCTTCTTTTGCTGATGGGTTTAAATGGAGAACATTTGAGATGTTTAAGAAAGTTGTGAAAACTGTGCTAGCCCGGTAGAATAATCAGCGTTCAAAGAGCTCAGTGTCCACTTCTAATAAATAAGGGTTAGTTATTTTGGATAACTCCTTAAATTAAGATTTGCCCTGTTTACTTTAAACATATAGGAAGATTTTCTGTGTAATATGAAGTTTCCTCCTCCTCATCGGTCTTCATTTTCTTTTGTGCTGTTTCTCTCTCCCTTCTCAGTGTGGGCAGAACATCCAGAAGCCTTGGGTGACCAGGAGGAAGGTGGAGGTTGGGAGGTGACAGTGAATGAAGGAATCCTTTGTTGGGTGTCTGAGTAATGTCCTGCAGGTGGAGAGCGATCGTCCCAAGCACACTTTGGGATGTTTCAACATCCCTGCATCTCAGTCATTAACTCTTTTACTGGGTTGTTTTGTTGTTTGTCTTTAAAGGCCTTTGGCTGCCATAAGGAGTGACTTGTTTCACAGTGGTTGTAGTATTTTTGCTGTTGGTAGCAATGCTGGAGAACAGTGTGGAGGTGTGACTGTTGCACAGCTAGGACTTGTGTCTCTGTTGTAGGAGATGTGTTTGGGGCTTCTCCTCTTTAGGCATTTCAGTTCTCATTTCCTTGGAACCTCAGGGAGAGGAGTCTGCCCTTTTAGTACAACAAGAACACACCTTTGTGTTTGCTGCTTCTGTGTAATGCAGTGGTAACACCAAGCTGAAATCTTGAAACAACACTGCCAGGGAATTATGACATTTGGTAATAAACCCTAGCGTTCATTTTTTTTCTAAACTCTTTAAAAGTATGAATTTTTTAATAAAAATACTGCACAGGGTAGGATGTGCTTTTTATTTTTCTTGTGGTCACTAAATGCAGACGATCTTTGATTGCAGTTCATTTTTTTCTTACCATCCCTCTTGTTTTTCAGTTTTCTGCTGGGATTCCACTGTACGAAACTTATTACAAACAGGTAAGTTTAGTTTTTAAGGAGATTGAAGCACAATTTCCTTCCCTCCTTTCCCATGTTAAACTTCTTTAAATCCTTTCCACTGAGTGGTAACCATATGGGTTGTTACAGAAGCATGAATAAGTCATTTCATTTCTTGTCTCTGCTTTCATGGCATCCTTCAGCTGAATGCAAACTTCTGTCTTTCAGGTAGATCCAACACACACGGGGAGAGTTGGGGCAAGCGAAGCTGCGCTGTTTCTTAAGAAGTCTGGTCTGTCTGACATTATCCTTGGGAAGGTATGTTGGAGGGACGAGACAATTTTTGCAGTAATTATCTGTGCGTTTGTTTCACTGCAGCTGAGACTGAGCAGAAGGGGTTAGGGAAAGCAGGTGAGATGGAGTGTGAATCGGATCCTTTGACCTCCAGGTTAACCACAGGCTGTTAAGAACTTCAGGGTCTTGTCCTGGGCTTTGTAGGGATCTGTGAAGAAAACTTGTCTCCAGTGTAACATTTTTGTTGTTAACTTGAGAATTAAGAACTGTATTTCATAACTTGAAAAGGTGTATAGTATGAATTGTTGAGCTGAGTTAAATGTTATTTTAAAGTTTCAATGGCTTTTATTTTGTATCTCCACAGATATGGGATTTGGCTGATCCAGAAGGTAAAGGGTACTTGGATAAACAGGTAAATAAAATGTACCTGTTAACCTCTTACATTACCTTGTACTGCGAAGCCTTGATTCCAGAAAACCCTGATATCCACACTAGTTACCCTTAGCTTTTTTTTCCCCCTGTAAATTTTCATTTACAGGATGATTTTTTTTTTGGTGCTGCTGATGTTCAAGTATATTACTCAGTGAGGCTGCTGGAGAAGTCAGTTCTTGTTTTCTGCTCCTCTTGTTTTCTCAGTAATCAGCGTGTGATACGTAGACACACAGTCATTGAGAGTAATATATACAAACCATAGTTTTAAGATCTATTTTAGAAATCTTTCTTGTACTGAAAAAGATAACTGGCATTATTTGAAGGACTTGGAATAACACATGCTCTAGTTATGTGTACATATGGAGCATTGTTGGTTTGTTTTCTGAATGTTATTAATTCTTACGAAAAAAAAGTTAAAAATAGTTATGAGACAGCCCTGAAAAACTAGCTTTGAAGTTTTTTACTCCGTGTTCTATGTCACTACAAAGTCTTTTCTGAATCTTCTCTGAAAGCAGTGAGGTATTGCTGCAGTGCAGTTTCTGCATGGGGCTGTACATCTGTTGTTTCTGTGCTTTTCTCGGGGTCATGTGTACACTGCTGGTAAAAACCCTGAATGGATTATTGGAGCTGGTGAGTTAAACTGGCTGTTTATTTTAATAGAAAGCACTATTGTTTGTAGGGCTTCTATGTCGCCTTGCGCCTCGTAGCATGCGCACAGAACGGCCATGAGGTTAACCTGAGCAGCCTGAACTTGACTGTGCCACCTCCTAAGTTTGTAAGTAATACATCCCTGAATGTTTGTATACAGTGCATGAGAAGTAAAGCTTCAGCTGAAATAGTTTTATAAATAATCTGTTTTATAAACATCTTGGTTTTCAGACTTCAGATTGCCATCAAACTGTTTCACAGTCACATCTGCCACTGTCCTGTCTTCCTCTGTAGTTCCAGCCCCATCCTGGGCTGCAAAGTCAGTGCAAGTTTAACTGCAGTCGGCTCGTTCAGTGCTTTTAAGCTGATGTGGCTAAAACTTATGTTTATGGGGAGGGAGGAGATGATTTTTGAACTGTGTCAACAACAGTGGATAGTAATGGGCATGGCTACAGCTTCACCTCTTTCTGTGTGTGTGTGTATAAACAAAAATAAAACTTTCGTTTTAGCATGACACCAGCAGTCCCTTGCTGATCACACCGCCTTCAACAGAGACTCACTGGGCTGTTAGGGTAAGTGTAAAAGACAACACATTCCATTCATTCTTTAAATGTTTTCCTTGTCTCTAGTGTTCCCAGTGAGAGAATTTTATATCAAATGTATTTCCCATTTGAAAAGTCCTTCCTTACTGATGGCAGGCTTGTGTGTGGTAAAGAATATTGAACTTATAGTTGAATTAAGTATTAAACAAGCCTTTGACAATCCCGGGTGTGATGTTTTTAAGACACAGTGAATTTTAATCTTCTGCCTGGATTTCTTCCAGAATCCTAATAGTAGGCACTTTGATGCTTGTATAAGGAACCCCACTGAGAACAGTGAAGCATTTCAGCAAATTCATCCTGAAGAATTAATTTAAAGCTTGAGTTCATGTAGTATTTAGTGATAATACACAATATATGTCATTGGAATGAAGTAGCTTCTGATAGATGCATTGGAATATTTGTGTTTACTTGCTTTGTAGTTGCAAACATTTTCCAAAATGACTTTCACTTATATGTTGTATCATTAAGTGGGAAGCTGATCTTTTGGAACAAACAGATCTCAGTTGGTTTAAAATCTTGTCAGAAGTGTTGTAATCAGAATTTGTTGTCCTTTCAGAACACTGTAGAAACGTATTTTCTACACTGCATGCTGAAATCTCTTAGATATCACAACCTTAGCCTTGAAACTGAGCTCCTAAATCAGGGTGACACTTGCGAGAAAGCTTGGAAATTTAGAATGAATGCTTTACTGTCCAGTCTTAATTTCTTGCAAGATCTCATTTTCAACACTCACGCAGGCACACTTTTTTACTTATTCAGGCTATTTCTTACCAACTAGGTGGAAGAAAAAGCAAAGTTTGATGGTATTTTTGAAAGCCTTTTGCCAGTAAATGGTTTACTTTCAGGAGACAAAGTAAAACCAGTTCTGATGAATTCAAAGCTACCTCTTGATATCCTAGGAAGGGTAAGTATGCTGTTTAGATTTAGCTATTCTCTAGCTTCTCTTACTTGCAGTGTTTAATATTAAAGTGTAATTTATCAACATAAATGGGTTTTTAGCTGGATTTTACATCAAGTGCATGCTAAAAAGTAAGAATGTTAAGCAGTGTCTGAAGTCATCCATTTAGAATAATAATAGTAATTTGGGCCCCAGAGTAGATTGGTTCCATTATCTCCCTGTTCATTTTAAGAGGTAGAAATTTTGACTGTGGTTGTATTAAAAACAAACAAATGAGGAAAAAAAACAACAACAAATCACTTTCTCCTAAACCCTAATAGCTTTTATAACATTGGATTCCACTGTTTTGTCACTTTTCCAAATGCAAGTTGTTAGCCATACCATTAAATCTGTCTACTGTTTGTACAAGAGAGCACTTTACAGCATCTTAGTTTATTGTAGCTGTGAAATTGCCAAGTATTTTTTTCACATGTATTTATAAATAGTTCTGGTTTCAGTGCATCCATTCTGTATTTGCAAAAGCAACAGACCTTAAAGTGTTTTTCAATTTCAGTTTAAAGCGTGTTCCTTAGTGTTCTTTTTGCATGTTGATATGATGGAGAATTTATACATTGTGTGTAAGAGCTGTATCTGAATTGTCCTATACTCCAATGTCTTCAGGAAGAACTCAATATATTGTCTATAAAATCTGAGTATGTTTTGTTTTAATTCCACTTCAATATTGTGAAGCAATCTTAGAAGTCTTCATATTTGATTGTGTTACTTTAGTGACAGAAATGCAGAAAGCTTATTTGTGTTCCAGAGGAGTTTGTACATGGGATAGGAGAGTGGCTAAATGGGCAAGGAACATAAATCAAGTGTCCTAAATTTGTGTGGACACACAGTGAAAAAGCCAGGAGCAGAGGTCAGATGGTTGAGCCTCACTTAGCAATCTGTACGCTCTGTTAGAATGAATGGCTGGGCAGTATCCAGTGATGGCCAGGTGTTGGAACACTCAGCATTTTGCACCTTTCTATGTAAGTCATTGCCTCTTACTTGACATAATAATGAAATAAAGTTGACAGATGCTTAAATTCTCTTGCAGAAGATTCTGAGGGCTGGACATGTTTTTTGACTGAAACAGAAAGTGGTTTTGAAGTGAAATGCAAATTAGAAATACTGACTTTTCTAAAACATCTTAACTTCCTTACGACACAAACTGGGATGATATGTTAGCATACACCATCTGGGGAATCACAAAAACATCCCTGGATGTTTGTAGTTAGTTTGATGAATCTTTAATTGCCACACAGGAAGATGAAAAACATACATCTCTTATGTGCTGGATTTATTAGAGCCAATGTTTCCACAAAATATTTGATTGACGTTGCCAGAAAACTCTAAACCAGTCTGTTTCACAAGAGAATCACAGCTAGATCTAATACAATGCTGTTTTCACCAAAATGTGTTAGAAGCTATTAGAGGGCATGCTTGACAGCTAATATCAAAGGCACAGAATGTAACTTGTTTTTATCATAAATGCTGTAGGTCTGGGATCTCAGTGATATTGATAAAGATGGTCACTTGGACAAAGACGAATTTGCTGTGGTAGGTTGCTTTATATCTTCAATTCATAGTGCATCTGCTAGAGCAAACCACTCTGCTGTTACCTCAGTGTTGCAGTTTTCCTCTGCTGCGTTCTGTTTTATGATCTAAATCATTCACATGCAGTTATGGTCTTTCTCAAATCCTTTCGAACTCTTGCCTGTGTCATCAAGATTAACATTTTTATAATAACATTCAAAATCATGTTCTTCTCTGGCTTGTCTCTCTCTCTAATCTTACTGTCTTTGTTTTACTAATATATAAATTGCTGGAAAATCTCATTGCTTTTTTTTTTTTCATTGTTAACATTATATCTGACCTCTTTGCCTTTGCAGGCAATGCATTTGGTTTATAGAGCTCTCGAGAAAGAGCCAGTTCCTTCACTGTTACCCCCTTCTCTCATACCACCTTCTAAAAGAAAGAAGACGCCTGTCTTTCCTGGTGCAGTTCCTGTTCTCCCTGCAAGTCCTCCTCCAAAAGACAGCCTGCGTTCTACCCCATCTCATGGTATTGTAAACAGTCTGAACAGCACAGGGAGTTTGTCTCCCAAGCACAGCATCAAACAAGCACAGGTGTGATTTTTCTTTTTTTTTCTTCCATATCAGTAAACTGAAGGGGGGAGGGGAAGAAGGGGGGAATTGCTTCCTTGTGTAAGCATTCTTAAAATATAAGTTTTTTTGAGTGGAGAAAATGACCAGAGAATGGAAGAAGAGCATGTGAATTTTAGTCACATGAACGTGAGGTGAAGCAAATCTTAATGGAGAATTTTCAGTTTCCATAGAAAGGTTTTCTTTAATTAAAAAAATAAAAATAGTTAATCTGTCTTCTAAAATTCCTGTGTGAAGGTAGTTGGGTCTGTATTTCCAAAGAATTAGCATTTTTCAGCTGATGAATAGCTCTTTATTAGTATTTATTAATTCAGGTAGCTATTCAGCTGAAAGATTCATGGGAAAAGGGAAGTAATTGTTTACCAGTCAGATTAGTTTGTGCAAGATACGTTCAGCACTTGCAATGCTGAAGAACGCTGTGTGCACTGCTCTCACTGTCTTTTGGCTCTTTCAGCCTTTTTACAAAATCTAAAACTTTTCTGTTTACAGCCATCTGTGAATTGGGTCGTACCAATGTCTGAGAAAGTGCAATACGATGACATTTTCTTAAAAACAGACACAGATATGGATGGTTTTGTGAGTGGCCAAGAAGTAAAGGACATTTTTATGCATTCAGGTCTGTCTCAGAATCTCCTAGCACATATATGGTAAGAATTCTCTAGTAGCTGTATTTTTGCATCTTGCTGATCTGGGAGGGCAGTTTATCCATTCAGAATTTGTAATCTTAACACTAAAAGAATTTAAAAAAAAAAACACCCATCAGCCTCATTTGTTTGTCCTGTTGCAGAATTATGACGTGGGCTATATGGAAAATCAAGAGAGAAATAAATTCTCACTTGGTTCTCCTGGGAGAGGGGTGTAGATCAGACTGAACTGTGATTGTTTTTTGTAGTTCTAAAGTTTTTTGTCAGCGAAATGCTCTTCTGTTCAGTCCAGTATGTCTAATAGAAACTGCTCTATGGAGCTTTTTCACTGGAATAAGCAAGCTCTGATGGGGCTGAATCAAAAGAAAATTATGTATGTTTTTTTATTTATTTTTTGGTAAAGAAGAGTAGTTTCCTTGTTTATAAGTATGATCTATTTTTTACCAGGGCTTTGGCAGATACAAGACAGATAGGAAAGCTAAGCAAAGATCAGTTTGCACTAGCAATGTATCTCATTCAACAGAAGGTCAGTAAAGGGATCGATCCTCCACAAGTGTTGTCCCCAGATATGATCCCTCCCACAGAGAGGAATACGCCCATACAGGTAAGTAATGGATTATTTGTAGATACACAAAGCTTACGTGCCTTGATTGAAGTGGTTCATAAGTATTAATTTTGTAATGTTTATGTTTTGCAATATGATGGTAAAGAATGGCTTTTTTTTCTCATCTTAGTGATGTTTTCTTTTGCATTTCAAAATAGACATAAATTTTTGACAACACAAGGCAGTAAGGCAGTAATACGTTTCATTAATAACTGAGAAAAGCTGAACTAGAAAAATACTCCTTTGTCACAAAGTAGTTGTTCCTTTTTTTAATAAAAGCTTCCTTAGGAAGTGGTGAAAGACACTTAGTAGTCCGTCTCTGGCTGTGGCCAGGACCAAATTCCTCCCATGAAAATGTGAAATTCTAATGGGAATTCGGAGGGTAATGAGCTTCTAGTTTCTGGGAATTGGTGGTTGGCTTATCTTTTGTAGCATGGCAGTCTGTAGTCCTATATCCATCACTGTTAATAACATATTATTGGTCATGAAAGCATTGATCTTACACTGAATCTTATTTGTTCCTTTTCTTAATAGCATGCCATTGTGTTTCTGAAACTTCTATTAGGGAACACTTTTGGCATGTCTGTATGTTCACCTTTTCTGTAAATTAAGTAGCATCTTCCATTACTTTTCTACTTTTCCTAACCAGCTTTTGAGTCTCTAAATATGTTTCTGTTGTTGCTATTGCTCTAGCCCTTTTAAGTTTTTTCCTGTATCCTTTTTCTATAGACTCTGTCAGGTTACTTGACTCCTGTAGGAACTGAAATCTCAGCACTAACAGAAATGCGTCGTGTGAGTAATTGTAACGTTGCAAAATTGTTCATGCACCCTACTTAGAACTCAGAGTTTTTTCTATACCTTCTCCTCTCTCTTTGCACTTGTGTTCTTTGATTCTTGCTCTTTGCATGATGAAAATTTTGTGATAGTGTGAAGTTACCAGGGTTGGTTGTTGGCAAAATATCTTTTCAACAATTTCAAATTCATTTATCTGTCAAGAGGTTCATTGACAGGCAGCTCAGTGTTGGCCCATTTCTTACTCATCTACGTTCTCTGAAGCTGTGGGCAATAAATATACATTGGTGCAAGATCTTTAAGCTTCCCATTGTTTTCAGTTCTTTTTATTTTAGCTGCTGCAGCTTTCCCTCCATGTAACTGTATGTTACTGTGAATGTAAGTAGAGGAGTTTTCTGTTCCTGTGAAACGTTGAACTGTGTTGTCCTACCTAATGCAGCAGTTCATTTTATCTTGGCTCCTAATCAAATTGGATAACATCTTATTATGATCCTGTACAGCATACTATACAGGTCACTGTGCAAATCCATATCTATTCTGAATAATAAGATAATACTGGAAGCTTTTGACTGCTGGTTTGAAGAATTAGTCTGGGTTATAGCTGTTCTTATTTATGGTTACCTGATGGTATATTAACGAAAGAAGCACTCATCCATAAATTATTACCTAACTAATTTAAACTGGTTGTTCACCTATTGCTTCTGTTAAAAATGTCACGTTTCACTATGCTATTTGGAGTTTGTTGGTTGTGTTGATTCTATTATATTCAATAAAGTCAAACTTTCTGTGGTTATCGCAGCAATCTTAGAGTGAACAATGTAAGCAAACTGCACTTTCTTCTTTTTAAAATGCTGTTTAAATATGGAAGGTCTTCTGATTTTGTACCAATTACTTTTTTTTTTTTTTTGCCTAAAGGGCAGGGGATGTGCCTTGTGACTTCCCCAACCTACACCTGAATGGCTGTAGAAATGACCCACACTGCAGCTCTCAATAAATTAGGTGTAATTTCAGAAACTATCAGTTTGGGCAGGGTTCAAGAGCACTGAAATATCATTAATTTCTCTTGAGTTCCCTGGAAGCTTTGCTATAGACTGTTGCAGAGGTGCACTTTTAGTTTCTTAATTTAAATTCTACCACTGCCTGCATTTTATTTGTTGGCATTGTGCATGTTCTGTAACTGCTGTGTACTTCAGCTGTCCCATCTGTTACATGAGCATGGGGAAAATTCTCCTGTCTCACAAGAATTGAATGGCACTCAGGGGTTGTTGTGTAATATTTTTGACTTTTCACATCAAGAGAATTGTGTCCCACCTTTGTCTTGAGCCTTTGTAAAGGAAGATCTGTCACAGCTGTGTTCTAATAGGCTGTTTTGTTCCTAACAGGATAGTTCAAGTTCTGTTGGATCAGGAGAATTTACAGGGGTGAAGGAACTGGATGACATTAGTCAAGAAATTGCACAGCTGCAGAGGTAATACTGTGGGCCATTGACTGTAAATCTAGAAGTAAGAAAACCAATTGAGTTTATAGTGCTGATATTCATTTACAATTATTTTCTTTTAATCTGTCTGTTACTGATTGTCACTGAAGTTGGTAATGACTCTCCCAGTTGTTTCATCCAGTTAGCCAGTTTTGTAAAGTCAGCCTGGAGTCTTCCAGGTGACTGTTGATAATAGGTCATATTTTTTGGAAGAATAATTGAAATGTACCATTACTTCCTCAAAGAAGATATCAGAATGAGGGCTGGCATTTTTGTTTTTTTGTTTCCAGAATAATATTTAGTTGATTCTTGCATGTGTGTTGTATTATTTAACCAATCATGAAAATATTTGCTTGTTTATCTTACAGAGAAAAATATTCTCTGGAGCAGGACATTAGGGAAAAGGAAGACTCAATTAGGCAGAAAACAAATGAAGTTCAGGTAAAAACTCCTCCTCTGCTTATAATCATTGATTTTTGTAATCTGAAGTAATATAGTGAAAAGCTTTCTTTCTTCTGTCTTTCCTTATGTTGTTTCTGGACAAGTCTCCTCCTTGTATAGGATTTTGTCTAACAGAAAGGTCTTTAGTTTCCTTTTCTCCATCAGAAATGTTTTATTCTGATGCTGGTTAATATAAGTAGATAATGATGCATGAATGGTTTGAAATGTCTTACTTAGTGTTTGACTGTAATTTAGGAAATCGTTGTTCAAAAATTATAGTTTTTCATAGTAAAGGTAACTCAATTACATGTGTTCTGCATCACAGTTCCTTTCTTTCTTGTGGGCACTGATTTATACAATATCTATGAATTCCTGAAAGAAAGTGTGTGTACACAGGAAATAATCTGTATGACATAGAAAATTCTGCGGAGAGTGCCAGCCTTTTTCTCTGTGATTTGATCATTCCCATAAGGCATGAGCTAAATGTAAGTTACAAACTGTGTGCTTTTTCCTCAGGAACTGCAAAATGATTTAGATAGGGAGACAAGTAACTTGCAGGAGCTTGAGGCTCAGAAACAAGATGCCCAAGACCGCCTGGATGAAATGGACCAACAGAAAGCCAAACTGAAAGATATGCTGAATGATGTAAGGCAGAAATGCCAGGAGGAGACACAGGTGGTGAGTGTATGTTTATGCTAGAGGTTCTCAAGTATATTGTGTCTTTTGTTGAAGGAAGTTGCATTCATTTCATAAACAAGCTTTTGCTGTCTGTAATTTGTCAACCATAAATAGCAATTTCCACACAAATACAGAGATCCGAAAAGGATTTTGTTAACTTACACAACTTTCATAACAGTTATAAATATGGCATTCCATCAGATGATCTACAGAAGTCCGTCCCTATGAAAATTGTTATTGTTCTTTGAATATGTGAAATATTCAGCCCATTGGAACAGTTTGAAGCATTATTCCTGACCATCAGGTGCTCCATGGACAGTATTGCATATTTTTATTACTGTGAAACTCACATCAGTATTTTGATTATAAAGTAGGTTTTCAGGGAGATACAGTTATCAGAAACTTGGTGTATAATGCCATGCATGAAAGAGTATAAGGAGAGTCTTATGCAGCTGTATAAATTTAAGTCTACCAGAGTTAAAAAAATCAGCTTTGTAGTACTTGATAAATATTTCAGTGGAAAAGGCACTGAGTTCTGAAAACTACAGGATAACCACTTAAGAAACAATCTTTAATTACTTTTACAATTAGTGTGGCATTTATATCATTTAAGATGCTAGTAGTTCTTTGTTTTATAGAATATTCTGCATGCTTACACTGACAATTCTATGTAATGTAAAAAGCATGCAGTTCTTCAGTTTATGATTTTTATCTTCTGTAACACTTGGTAAGTTGCTTTACAGCTTGATATTTTTTATAAATTCATAACGTACTGAGGTACCTTCAAATTTCTCTTTGATTTTTATAACATTTTGTTTCAGATTTCATCGCTGAAAATGCAGATTCAATCTCAGGAATCAGATTTAAAATCACAGGAAGATGATCTTAATAGAGCAAAAGCAGAACTGAATCGCCTCCAGCAAGAAGAGACACAGTTAGAGCAGAGTATCCAGGCTGGAAAAGTGCAGCTTGAAACGATAATCAAGTCTTTAAAATCAACACAGGAAGAAATAAACCAGGTATTCACTGTAGTTTGCATGACATCATTTTTTTCCTTCTTTAAAGTGCTAGAAGTTGAACTTAACTAGAAAGATGACTTTAGAGAAGAGAAGAAATAGTGGTGCATGAGATAAGCCTTTCTGATGGTTGCTCAGTAGGTCAATTCCCAGTCTGAGTCAGAAGAAGTTTAACTCCTGAGGGAGTTGTGGGTAGGAAGGGGGAAGCAACTGTCTTGCAGCAGTGTTTAACCATGGGTGAAAGGATTGTCTTCTCACTGAATCTCTGAAGTAACCAGTTCAATAGTAGCTGCACCCTTCAGTTTTGTGAGGATGACAGCGTTATTGAAAGATTAACATACTAAATAATTTTTCATTATTTAGGCAAGAAGTAAACTTTCTCAACTTCAAGAGAGCCATCAAGAAGTCAGTAAGAATATAGAAGAATATAATGAAGCTCTGAATGGGGTTAATGGTGGTAGCCTGACAAATTTAGCAGATATAAGTGAAGGCCTTGGGCAGACAGAAAGAAGCAATTATGGAGCAATGGTAAGAAAAAATTTATAATGTTATTTAGACCATTTTGCAATAATTAAGATCTGTTATTCACACTTAATCTTGAAATCATTGAGCAACTTCTCTTGCTATAAACTTCCCCTTAATTATGTATTTCTTATTTCCCATATAATATATATGTTACATAGTTCAGTTAAAAAGTGAGTTTACTTTCCAGAATGCATTAGTATTTCTCTTCTGCTAAGACAGTTCCAGCACTAATTAAATCATTTATTGTGTTTCCTTTAAGTCAGTATTTTGTTTTCTGAATTCTTAGGATGATCCATTTAAGAGTAAAGCCTTGATGTTCACCAATAACACGCAAGAATTGCATACAGACCCATTCCAGTCAGAGGATCCTTTCAAATCTGATCCATTTAAGGGAGCAGATCCTTTCAAAGGCAGTAAGTGACCAATGGCTTACCTGAGACTTGAAGACCAAATGTTGAGTAAATGATATTTTCAAACTTTTATCATCTTGCTAAATAGTGGATAAAACAAATGATTTTTCTGTCCTGCATAGGTGACCCATTCCAGCATGATCCTTTTGCAGAGCAGCCACCTGCTCCAGCAGGTAATAGCCCTTACCATGACAGGACAGATGAATTAGACAATTTGTAGCCAAACACAAATATGGATCTGGCGTTTGGTTTGCATGTGGGAACTTAGGAACTTGGCAGTCAGTGCAAACAAGATCAATGCATTACATACACCATTAACTTTTCATTGAGTGAAGTCTCAATGAAATACCTTGTCAGATATTCACTGAAAATGTGTACTTGTTGCAACTTAATACCCAGAACAGAGAGTATCTGGAAGTTTGTTGGTTTGCCATGGTGTTTTTTTGTTTGTTTTTGTTGGTGGCGGTTTCATTTGTTTTCTAGTGAGAAAAAAATCAGTGAGTATGAGGTCAAATGAAAAATGGTTCATTATTGACACTCCTTATTCTAACTACTAGGTGCTACATTCTATTTACCTTTTAATACTCCTAGATCCTTTTGGAGGTGATCCGTTTAAGGAAAGTGATCCATTTCGTAGTTCTGCCCCTGAAGATTTCTTCAAGAAACAGGTGAAGAGTGACCCGTTCACATCAGATCCATTCACAAAGCCCTCCACTTTACCCTCAAAGGTCAGTTATTTATACTTTATACTTAATTTAATCACAGTAGTTTGCTTTTCTGAATGCTTCTGAGTGTAATTTCTTATTTTGCCCTAGGAACTAATACTGACTGTATTTGTGTGATACGCTTTTCACTTGAATGTGTTTTGGTTTCATTCAGCGTTGTCAGTTATCCCATTGTATGTCCACTAAACAGAGTGATCTGAAACTGGAAATAATTTGTCCTAAAGCAGTAGATATTGATGTGCATAGAAAGAGAAGTGTGCAGTGCAGCACAACAGTAATTACATATCTGTTCTTATTTAGCCTGACCCTTTTGAAAGCAGTGATCCTTTTACCTCTTCCAGTGTCTCTTCAAAAGGTCCAGGTAAGAAGAAAACTACAGTTTGCTCTTTTTTTTTCTTTTTTTTTTCCCCTAACCAACTGATAGAAAGCATATTGCTCTTTGCAATTTTCTCATAACATCACATGACAGGGAAAAATGCAAGTGTTGTTTAATCACCTACCTGTTTTTTTTACTTTTTTCACAATAAGTTCCTAAAAATTCTTGTGTATAACTCTAATTATTTTTTTCATACCTGTTACAGATCCATTTGGAACATTGGATCCATTTGGAAGTGGCACTTTCAGTAGTGGTGAAGGATTTGCAGACTTCAGTCAGATGTCAAAGGTAAAGATGATGAGGAAAGCAAATGTGCTCTTAAAAAAAGTCCTTAAACATTTTTGAAGGATGTGATATAATTGCAGTGTTTAAGCTGACAGTCCATTTCTGCTGTTTTTATTTTGATCAGTCTCAACAATTCCTTAGCAAAATATCTTCCATCCATCTCAATATGGAAAAGTTGTAATCAAGACCATAGGTTCAAGAGGGGGAAATCAGTTTCTACACACGTTCTCAAATGCCAGTGGAACAAAAGAAGTAACATCTATTTTTCACTTGTAATCAAAAGTAGTTGCTCCAGATAATGGAAGGCAGGTGCAGCAATATATTGTTACATTTGCTTTGGTACTGACTGCATTTCTCATGGCATTCTAACTTGTTCTTAAACTTCTCCGTGAATGTTGGGATCCAGGGAAGGGTAGAAAACGTGTGCTGACATTTCACAGCATTTAACAGGATTGCTATTTTTTGGTTTATTGTTATAAGCTGAGTATATATAATGTATTCCAAGTAGTTGTATGTCCTTACCTCCTAATCTGGATAGTAGTCACAGTCTGCTATTAGTTTTGTGAGTCTGACGTTGGAATTTGCAGTTAATTTTTTCTTGTTTCTGTTTTTGTGAGGTTGATAGCTCTCCAGTAGGTGGCAGCAGTCCTCACAAATAGCGGCGCGTTTGGTTTGGGTTGGAAGTTTTGGTGACTGTTAGCTTTTAGCTTTGCCTACAAAGCATTCTATTTTATTTCAGGATAGATTTTCCTGCGTGGTGCAGTTTGTTGTGCCATTTTTCATCGTTAAGAGAGTCTTTCACAAAAAGCAGCTGAATATATGAAGTATGCTAAAACAATGCATTTTTAGAATTTTCCAAGATTTTACAAAAAATACAAATAGATGTAACTTAAGTAAAGCTTGGAAGAAAAGCTGCCCATTCTACAATCTGTCATATTTTCATAGTTACTACTTTGTTTCATGGTTCTGATTTATCGTAGAATGAAGGCCCTGCTGTAGTGTGAATGTCCATCACTAATAATAAAAGGGAGTTCTACTTCCTTTTATTCTTCTCAGCTTTTTGCTAGGGGTAAAAGTTTGAGAAGCACTTAAGTGATTAAGAGCACAGCTGCCCTTTATTATTTGTGCTCTTAGACAAAGTATTAGCATGTCTGACAGTAGGTATTAGCATCTTGTGCTGCTGACATTAACAAAAGTTGAAGACATTTACAGAATTGAAGTTGACACTTTTCAGTGAGTTAAATTAGAACCATTGCAAAACAACTGATATTCTGCAATGTGCTTACATTCTTTTTCTTTTTTTCTGTTGCAGTCAGTAGCTTCAGACCCCTTCACCTCTTCTTTTGGAGGAATGGGATTCTCAGATGACCCTTTCAAAAGCAAATCAGACACACCAGCATTACCACCGAAGAAAAATGTCCCTCCACGACCCAAGCCACCCAGTGGTAAGGAGATTTTATTTTTAGTAACCAGTTTCCCCAGTATATTACTGTATATTCCCCCAGTGTATTACTGTGAAATAAGGGCAAGTTGTCAGTTTTCTATCTCAATATTTGACATTTCAACTATGGAAGAAGGTATGAGATTATCAGCAGATTGGCAGGAATTGTCAATAAACAGAGTGAAACTGATTGGAAATTCAATCTCCCTCCCTAGAGCTGATCTTTTTTAAAAAGCTGATTTTTAAAAACATTCAGATACCAGTGAAACTGTTTCAAGAACTGAGGCCACTTTAGAGCTGTTAGTTTCAGGTCTACTTTTAACAGCAGCAGAATAGTTCAGTTAATATTAGCAGTGAACGTTTAGTCGGCTTACCTGAAAAAAAAAAGGAGATCTGGATTCTGTACATGAATAGACCTATAATTCTGCAGTAAACATGGGTCAATGTTCAGAATTTGAAAGGTGTTTTTCTTTCTACTTGTCTGCTAGTAATTCTACCGAGTATTGTCTACCTTTCAACTGCTGTGTTTTGGAGAAAAGCGTGCACCAGCACCCATCCTGTTTACAACAAATACTGTTGATCTGACTGGTTTTGCAAACCAGTTGTGCTAGAGTTAGATTCTTGGATAACATGAAAAGTGCTTTCTATCACAGGGATGTCCCATAGATTAATCCAAGGTTTGCAAAATACTGTTTAATAGAACAGATATAAGCATACCATTGCTACAGCATTAGATTATGAACAGAAGAAGTATTAAAGCTGAAGGTCTTTTTTCATGAAAGAGTCAAACAAGTACTAAATACACCTATGTTATTTCTTTAATGTGGTTTCTTTATGTTACTTCTTCAAAACATGAATGCTCCTAGCAAATACACTTTGCACAAATGGGCAATACATTTCACAGGACTGACTTACATGCATGTTTTTTTTACTGTTGTATTTGTCTGTCTTCTTATTCCCTCTTTTGTGTATACTGAAGAATTTTGAACACATAGCTTTAATGATTTGCTTTGAATATAGATGTGTGCACTCAGCCTTTAATCAGTCTTTTCAAAAATCTTGTTTAAATGTGTAATTTTCCCTCTTGTTGTGAGACACAAGATTTGTAAGGTTCCACTGTTCTACCCAAAGCAAATGTTGTTATGATAAAATAGACAAGGAGGAAACAAAGCAGGTTTTTTTTTTAAAGCAAACGAACCTCATGTGCTTATGCAGTTATACTCCTCCCTTCCTTCCACACTAAAGCAATCTTCAGCGGTTACTTAAAGCATGAGAAATTTTATAGTAATATAGTGCGATTTGAGCATGAGATAGAAGCATACAAATGTGTGTTAGAAATGGGAACACTGCTCAGAAAACAACAAAAAAGAAACTTCCGTTGTTTCTTACCTTTCTCATTGGTCTGTTTAATTAAAAAAAAAAAAAAAAAGTATGTGATAAAGATCTTGCTGAAGGATGAATAAATGCCAGTTATTAGCAGCCAAATTTGTAGGTTGCCTTTCTGTTCCCAGTTCATACTTGCTTCTATAAAACTTCTTGCTTTTGAAAATGACTTGTGAGGCTTGCTTGACTTTTGCTAGGTCAGGTGCAATAGAGGTCTGACAGAAAGCTTTACTTGTTCTCAATGCTCTAAAATGAAGTAGAAACTACTAATTGATGTTTTTGCAGAGCATTGAAAGTTGCTTGATTTCCTAAAGTAGTAGTTAACAATTTTCAAAGTTCATTTGGGCTTATATGACATGCAAACATGAGCCCATCTGTCTATGGAGGTACTGCAGGTTGTTCTGGATTATCAGAACATAGCCAAGGTATGCCATGGTTTCCCTTCTTGCCCATATCTCTGTATTTTGCCCAAAAAACAAGGAGTTGTGCCTCAGTTGTTATTTCTTCATGAAAATGGTACAAACTTCTGGAACTGAGGATCAGGGAGATGCTTCAGATACAGCCTCTGTTGGCCTCTTGATGAAGGTCACATCCAAGGGTCCTCACTTGTACCTGCACAAACCTGCAAAAGGAGTGTGTTGTTCAGATTAGCTGCTCTCAAATAAGGGCTCTAGGGATGCTTTTCACGTTGTGCTTAAGAGAACTTCTCAGTTAGGGCAGCTTTGTCAGCAGCAGAGTTTCAGTGGGTAATCGTTTCAGCGTATAAAGTCCAACCTGTAAACTGAAAGATTGGTTGTTTTTCCTCTCTTACTGTTTTTCTGTAGTTGGTGTTTTTTTTCAAAGCTTGGACATTGACAAGCAGCAGTGATCTGATGGCTGTTGGCAGATACTTCTGTTCACAGCTGTCTGTGGTTATTATCTAGAAAGGATAGGCAAGCACTTGCTATGTGGCATGGCTGAGACACCCTTGAGATCCGTATCTTTCCCTTCTCAAAAACTAAGGTTAGGAGAGGGGATAAAACAGTCATGAGAGTATTTCCTTAAGGCTGTATCTTAGGCTGAATCTCAGGCTTACAGTTATGTTCTTCATAAATCACTTTCCTTCTTTTTCACCCTTTGTTGAACCAAAGTCTTCAAGATATCTCAGATGTTTCTCAGTCTTAAACTGATCTTTGGTTCAAGAGAAATCTCATGTTTGTTTTTTTGATTACATGCTCTTTTGTGCCTTTTCAGTGTAAGTACAGTCTTTTAAGGAGAGTTGGAGGTTAATAAACGAGTGTATAAAAACGAAGACAAGGAGATGACAAGGAAGAGAGGTATTTTAGAACCACAAGCCTGGGTACAGGTGTACACCACAGCTCCAACACAGCTTTGTTACATACAGAGATTTGAAAAATCAGTATCTCTGTCCCTTACCTGGCTTCAGATTCTTCTTAGGCTGAGGGAGATCAGCTAAGGGAAAGCTCTTTAGCTGCTCTGACCAGACTGTTCTAATAAAAGTCACCCGGGGAATATGTGCATGCTCTTTTTCTTCAGGAATGCATTTGCAGTCCACAAAGTTCCTAATGGACATTAGGTTTAGTACAGCCCCGCTGGGAGCAGGCTGAAGTAATTTGATGTTCACCAGGTGGTACTGGACAAACCAAAGGGTTTGTTTCTGAGAAATATGAAAGTTTTCCAGTATTTATTGATGTTGAGTTTTAATAATGCTCAAAAAGCACAAAAAAAGTTATCCAGATTGAAGCAGTACTGTGCTCTGCATAGTGAGCTATGCATTCCTCTTCTCCTTCGCCTGTTAATTGAAAAACAAGGCCAGATTAATTATTACCAGTATTAAGAAAAATAATGGCGTGTATTTACACACTGAATAGAGGTGCCCTGTGACAGGGATCTGAATCCCAATGCAGGTTATTTTCTCATGCTGTCACAAAAACTGACTGAAGTTGTGTAGATTTAGAAAATGTATTTTCTGTCATAAAGCATCCCATTTATTACCCTGCACTGCTCACGTATTTCTCATACTGGATTTCAGACTTTGTAGAACTGTAGAGTAATTAAGGTTAAATAGTCAGAAAGAGATGATACACTGAAACCTGGCAGTTGAAATGGTCTTAGGAGGTTCTCACAGTTTAACAATTATGTTTTCTGCCCTGAGCTGCAGATTGGAATCAGTCAGAGCTCACCGCTAACTAGTTTCTAGGTAAAAGTTGTTGATTACAAAAAGAGAGAAACAGATTTTTTTTTCTTTTTTCTTTTTTCTTTTTTTTTTTTTAAAGTACAGGAAGCTGCTGTGTGGGTGTCAGTGATTGGGTTATAAGTAAAATTCAATGCTCTAGTGCTTTGATCGTGGGACCCAGTGCATTTGCCCCACCCTTACCCACTTCCTTTAAATGCAGCACCATGCATTCCACATTGCGGTTATAACAGTACTGTTAACCAGTGATATTAGTGGAAGAACCTTCACCACTAACCAGTGTGTAACCTTCAACCTCTTCTAAATTTTTATTGCTTGCTTATAGTGGTTTTGACCTTTTTAACCTTGAAAGAATATAAAGTCCTAAACACGCAGCAGAAAAGCGTGCTTTGTGATTTCAGTCTGTTTTCTTCTTGAAATTGTTATTTGATAAAAAGGGTTGTTTTGATCATTCTAGCTTTTTTCAGTCTGTGTACATTTTACAATTTATTTCGTATATATTGAATATCAGTGGCTAACAGAGATGGTTGGTATTGTATTAATAACTGAGTACTCCATTGATTATGTACTTCAAAGAATTAAGTTTTTCTCTGGAACACCAATAGATAAGTAGCAGAAAAACATCATAATTGGGAATTCAAAGGACTAAGCATTGCATTCATTCCATGTGAAAAAGAGAGGTGTAGGTTTACTTTCCTGCTATTTGAAGTTCAGATATTAAAATAAATTATCCTGGGAAGCTTTATCCCAGACTGCACGCAGTCCTTCATCAAAGAACTTGGGCTTTGTTTTTTGATCCATTTATTTGTTGTAGCTCTGAGGTATTATGGAAAATGAATTTATAGGTTGGCATTTCAGAGGTTAGTGGTTAACACCTCTGCCTTTGAGTTAAGGGCTTCGATTCCATTCTCACATGGGTTTTATGACAGGTAGTGCTTTCGAAATGTCAAAATATTGCAAAAAATGTTGAGAGGATGGAAAAGGGGACAAACCAGCCTTGCTTAAGTTAGTGAGTATGGTTCTCATCCTTCAGAGATGCCCCACTTGTGTGCAGTCCCAAGTAAAAAGAAATGGTATCTAAATCTGCTGAAAAGGGATGGGTAGCCTTTAAGGTCTCGTTAAGGTCCATTAAGAACTGTTGAGTACTGTGAAAACTGAGAGCTGCAATGCCTGCAGCAATGCATCATCTACAGAAATAAGTCCCTAGTTCGGGGTGAGGATGCTTCGCCCTCTCTTCACAAGTGTAGTTGCTATAGAAGGTTATTAGTCCAGAAGGAGCTTGGAATGGAAGCTCATAGTCCTCAGGAGGTAAATTTACATTCGTCTGCCCACTGAGTGATCGTGACTGAGAAGGTATGCTGAAAGAAAGTAGCCTGAAGGCAGTTTGAGCTTTGGTGAGTAGATTCTGTAGTGAGCAGATACCCAGGTGGGAGATGTGCACAACTTCCAGGCTTGCCTGGACTATGGTTGTCTAACTGGAAGCTTTCAAATAAGTTTACACCATGGGACTTCTTATGCAGCCCTGAATGATGCTGGATGCCCTGCAGCTGTGTGTGCATGCTCAGTGCATGGAGTGGAGAGGCAGTGCAGCAGCAGTGTTTGTGCAGCCCTGTGCCACTGCTGCCTTCCTTTGTATTTGATGCTTCCTCCTCCTTTATGTCAATGATAAATATAGTTTTTTTAATGTGTCACTTCTCTAAACTTAAGGCATTTTATGGTTTGACTGGTTTTACAGTTCTAGACTTATTTTTCATCCTTAAAGCAGCATGAAAGCACTGTCAGTTCACATGTGTGTGGACTTCTTATTAACAGCACTGAGGAAAGAAAAGAGCTGAGATCTTTGCTGCTTTCTGGGTTGCACATCTCAGTGTCTTTGTGTGCCTGCACTGTGTCCTCCATGGCTCAGCTAGACGAAATGCAGTCTGCACTGTTTGTTCAGTATCTCAGTTTAAAAGAACTTGCAAAACAAAGCCTGGATGCTTTGTGTGCATTTTCTGGCTGCGTTTCTTAAAAGAAAATCTTTTCTTGTGAGCAGATGGTGCTAAGCACATCACATATTTGTGGGCACTTTTTGACCTGCATCATGTGCTACATTCCCAGTATATGAATTTGCATAGAAATTTTCTGTATGTGTGCAGTGCATTAAGTATAAGGAGAAAGAAGCCATGCTAGATACAGTAGATTTAATCAGGAGTTAGAAACGAATTAAAGAAATCTGTTAAGCATTTAGTTGAAGCAGAGCAGAAAAAATCCCTCGCATTTTAACTTTTATTTTAAATTGCGTGGGCACACTCAAGTCATGGATCACCTTTGGTCTAAAGGGGAGCACGGAGTTCTGTTCCTCACTGCATGGTCACAGCAGTGTTCTGTTGTTTCTAAGTGGCACTGCACACCTGTTTCCGTAGAGCTCCTTCAGTCCCCGAGGTTACCCACGAGCAGCACGCTGCCCATACACCTTTATTTTTTCCTCATCTGCAGCTGGCTGTGAAAAATTCAGCCTCAAAGTTTGTGAGCAACAGGGAAACTTTTGTTTTCGTGTCTTCTAGAAGACCTGACAGTTGTGTTAGAATAAAAGCATCCCGTGTTGTTTAGGACAAATGACTCATGGGTGGAGCACCTGCCCCAGCCACAAACTAAAAATTCCATTCACGCTTTGATTCTGTTTGTGCTGATCTCTCACAATAAAGATATTTCAGTACCGATTGTTGAAGCAGTCTGTTTCAGAACAGATCGTTAACATATAATGATTTTTCTTCAAACCTCTCTTTCCAGAAGTGTGTAGTTGTAAGATCATTTCTCCTGAGCTAAGACATGCAGGGTTGCTGCCTGGCAGGGGGGAGAGTTTTGCAAATACTAAGCAAAAACACTTTGGGGGGGTTTTGCATAGGAAAAAATCTTAGTTCTGTTACTAAAAATATATATTGTGAATTTGTGTGAACAGAAAGTTGAGTTTGAAACACAGTGAAGAAATAGCCCTCGTCGAGGACAAAAACTGAGTATTCTGTAGAAAATCGGTTTTAATTTAATTTTCAGAATAATTCGAGGGCAGTAATATTTTTCTGTAAGTTCTTAAAGCTCACAGTTTATGGAAGTTTTGTTCTGCATCGGTGGAAGAGCCGGCTCGCTTAGCAGCGTGTTGAGAAGTGTGCTGAGTAAGATGGGAATGTAGATAGGTTTGGTGGAGTGCCAAGGAGAGATGCGGGGGAGGCACCTCTCAGTCTCTGAACTTTTGCAGAGTAACACCTTCTCCAGCACTTACAGATGGGTGAGGAACCTGGCATTGCTTGTCTGGTGTAACTGCACGTGTGGGCTTTGCTCGCTGCCACTATGAGTCCTACAAAGCCTGGCTCTAACTTGTTAAGGCAGACCTGTCACGCTGGGACACTGCTTGGAAGGGAGCGTTGTGCAGGCAGAGCTGAAAGGATGCAGTGGCAGCTCTGCCTCGTTGGCCTGGCAGTGTGTGATGCAGTCGGTGAGCACACGTGAGAGCTGCTGGAGTACAGCGAGCTCCTCTTCCAAACAGAATGCTGGGATCATCCTTGAAACATGGCACATAGTGAAAACTGTATTTAATGGCTGCACTGTCGATATCTTGTCGTTCAGTGAGTGAAGTTCTCTAATTGCATTCTACTGGTGAGAAATTGTTTGCCTTGAACTATAGATCTCAGCCCTAAATTTTGCTCTTGGGCATGAAATTAGATAAACCCTTTGCATGGGTGGAGTTCACTACAAGTTAACAGCATTTGCTGTGGTAAACCATTTTGTTCATCATCTCTTTTTGCTGAAGTGAGCCCTCGGTGTGGTTTGGGTGCACCACTTGGGTAACTGCTGAAACTGCTGTGGTTTCAGAATAGGACCTGTTTTGCTTTTTTCTGAACTTTTTTCCCCTGAAACTATTAGCAGAAAAATCAAACTAGTAAGGGTTACAACTGTTTGCCTGTGCTTTCATATTGCCATCTCTCAGAAATGTTAAACGGTATTTTACAGAGCACAGTATATTAATTGCTGTTAATTACTGCCTGCAGTGTATTTTGCACAATTTTACCAAAGTCTCTCTGTTCAGTTGGTGATGTTTTAATGTGATGTTGGCATTCTTGCTTTACCTTATAGAAATATTGACCCCACATGAAAATACAGAAATCTTTTTAAGATGTATCCTCACTGCACTGGGGGATTCACATCTGGGTCAGCCTGCAATGATGTGCTGTAAGAAAGAGAGCTCTCTTGTCATTACTACTGTGGCCAGTAAGTTAGTAATTTTGAACATTGAACTAAGCATCTAGCCAAACAAACTTCTGCCAGGCCTCACAGCCATGCTTGCAGAGCTCTGCAGGATCAAACAAGCTATAAGCAACAGAGAGAGAATGAAAGAGGGCTCATGAGTGCTCAGATTGGCTTATTCAGCATGGGCACTGCCCTTAGTTTCTCTGCAACAAATAATCTTGATTTTATAGAGGTTGCCCTGTACAAGTTCTTCCTTAGAATCACAAAATTAAAACCCTGTTTTATTTTTCAGTGCTCAAAAACTGAAGAAAATGACAGTGAGGACACAAAATGAATTTTTTCTGTATTATTAACAGTCACGGTAGTAATTCACAGTGACATTTAATCTAGTGATCTGTCCTGAAGATGAAGCACAAGAAACCCCAATGTTCTCTGTTTGTGTTCTGAAACCACTAGGGGCTTTGTGCAAAACATTAAACAGGCCACCTAGAAAAAAACAGGTTTGCTGAGCAAATAATGTTGCAAAACCTGCGTTCGTATTAACAGTCACCGATTCCACAAAGGGGTTTCAGCACCAGGAGGTTTAACCTATGAGAAGAGCAGCTTGAAATGGAGCAGTTTTTCCTTTGTCCATCAGATCTGTTGTGGGACAACGTAGGGTGAAGGACAGTGGGAAGATGCAGACACCCCTACCTTGGTTCTGTTCAATGTATGCAGCTCGTGATGTTTCTGAGCACCTCCCATTGACTGAAAGTAGCTTCTGAAAGATGCCAGGCTGTGCACACTGCAAAGCCTGCATTTTCAGCTCAGTTCCTGTGCTTCTCTATGATGTGTATCCTGATGTGAATAAATGAGAAGATTCCCATTAAATTGTAGTCCAGAGAATTGGAAGCTTATATTAATGTAAATCGGGCATGTAGTTCAGATTATTGTGCTAAATAAGGTGTGTGATTCAGGTTATTTTGAGAGAAGTGATAACTGTCATTTCTTTTAAGGCTGTTTCCAGATTTTGCCTTATTGTTCCTTGAGTACACATTATCATCATGGCTGACAGTTTTCTGACCTCTGTTGGTCGAATCACTAAAAATGGAGTTCTTCTCAAAGGGAATTTAACCATTGAGGTTCTAATTAGAAGAACTAAAATACACAACTGTTATTTATGAGCACTACAGCAGTTCCCATTTTGGGGGTGTATGAACAAGAAGTCACGTACAAAAAGTGGGTTGCACAGCAGGCACCCCCCAACAAGGTGATTTCTTTATTGCACTCTTTTCTGTTGTAAGCAGTTGTAGAAGTATGAACCAGTTCCAGGAAAAAAAAACAAACCAGCACATCCATTCTGTATAGTCACAGACAAGTTACTGTTTAGTTCTACTTAACGCCATTAATTATTTTAGGGATGTAAATGTCCATGTGTTCTGTCTTTTGTATAATCCCAAACAAACTGAAATGTCTCTGTTCCTGGAAAATGAACTGAAGTTGTGCTTGTTGAGTTCTTCTGATCAGGTGTCTTCATGTTGGGTTTTATCATTTAAAATCGTGATGGTATTAATATTGCAGCATTTGTAAGAAAGATAAATCTATTTAAATAAAACAGCTGTCAGAGATGAATTGCACTGAGAAATGAGTACTATTGGATTTGGTTAAGTTTTTAACCACCCAGGAAGAGTGGATGATACTAAAGTGCATCACAGCAGTTTCCTATTTAAGGGATTTGCATTGTCCATGGTAAGTAACTTCTCTTTTTCTCCTTTTTTTTTTTTTCCTGAACTTTCCAGGTAAAAGCACTCCTGTAAGCCACCTTGGGTCTTCAGATTTTCCCAAGCCCCATGATCCATTCCAGCCATTTGGGGCTGACAGCAGTGACCCGTTTCAGAGTAAAAAGGGGTTTGGGGACCCATTTAGTGGAAAAGATCCATTTGCTCCCTCCTCTTCAAGTAAAACTTCTAAAGACTCTTCCTTGGGGTTTGCAGACTTCAGCTCTGTAAGTTAAGTTCATTGTCTCTGAGCAAACCACTTTCTGCTCTGCTTGCAGCATCTATTGGGTTTTTGTTTTAACTGCAAACCTACTGTTCACTGGCTTCTGTCTCTTAGTACCTTCATGCTGTCCTCGTTGTTTTTGTATTAATACTTCTGTAATAAAAAGGCATTATTTCAATAAAAAAAAAATAATTTGAGTTTCATACTAAATTTTGAAGGATTTACTTGCATTTAAATTATTTTAGTACAGTGTGCCTTTACTCACAAACTCTTTGTAGCAGAATCTGTGTATTGTTTTTGTTGCATGGAGGCTATTTTGTAAATTGATTTTTGGGAGCCAATGATGTACAGATTCAAAAATAATTGCTGAAGACATTTATATAGCAATCTCACCATATCCTGAGAAGTGAATCCTTAAAGGGAAAGGTTCCCTGAAGTATTTGTATTTGTTATGAAAAAACCCTGACAATCCTGTCACAATGTTTGCTGTATACAATGGAATGTGATCGTAAGGATATATATACAAGACAGAGACTGCAAATTTAGCTGTTGAATTTTGTTCCTATGAATGATATTGTAGAAAAGCCCTTGTTAGACAAAGAAGACAGAGTTGTTATGTAGAACCAACACAGAAGCTTCCATATTGCACTCCAGAAAGCAGTATCTGAAGGTTTGGAAGTGAAGCCAAGAACCCGCTCATAAAAAATCCGGGTTCCTGAGAGCCTGCTTTTGGTTTCCGTGCTGGCACTTATGTTACTGAATTGGAAATCACTGTAAATATAGTAGTAGCGTGGTTCTTACTGCTTCCACAAGTAGGTAGAAATCTGTTCCATTTGCAGCATCAGGTTTCTTCCTTCTTTCATGTGTTTCTGTTCTGTCGCATTGCCATGCAGTGAAATTGCCAGTTTAATCTGTTCCCAATGGGCACAGTTTGGTGTTCAGCAAGTGGAGATCTTTAAGCTGAACCTTTCAGGTTGCTTGTTTTTTAATGTTTTCCCCTGATTATTAGATAATAGTAAATGTGTATCACTTTCCTATTTGATATTGTCAGTCGAGGTCACCTGTGCATACGTTTAGCTGGCCTCAGTGCTTTAATTTATCTGTGATACTGAAGACGTCCAAGTTGAAGATATTCTGTATGCTTTACCACAGTTAGTCTTAGCCTGTTGAATTTCATGCACAGTTAAGTTCTGTGATTGTATACAAAATGGTGACATTTTTAATAAAAATAAGACGCAAAACTTGCTTTATCTGAAATTTCTTGACCACCACCTAGCTTCATCCTTGAAAGAGAGACAAGGAATGAAATGGAATCATGTGTCCCAGCTGTTGTCTTACTTACAGACTGCATTTCTTATGTTAAAAGTGTGGCTTACACTAATGGAAGGTGCTGAACAATTAACCACAGCGGGTGATCCCCATCCCAATGGGTGCTCTAGCACTTAATTCTCTGTGCCATCAAGTTTCCAGGAGAGGAGATTAACTGAACGATGAGGAAAGGTAGAAGTGAGAGCAGGAGTAGCAGCCCCTTACTGTTAGGTGGCACTTCTTCCAATAAAACTAAAAATTAAGTGATTTTGTGACTGGCTCCCTACTGTTACAAGAAAAAAAAAGAGGCTAACTGAATGGGACAGCTTCCCTGATCTTTTTGGTGTTTGTTTTTTGTTTGCCTTGCACATGATTGTGGTGCTACAATTGATGCTCGTTACCTTGCAGTCAGGAAGAGTATTCTGCTTGTTTTCAACTGTTCCTTGGGAAGCTTTGCCATTTTCCTTACAGAAGGTGTTCTGACACACAGTTCAAGTCTGTGGAATCTGAGAACAGTATTGTGTTGGTTTGAATGATGGAATAACCTGGCTGTTATTTGGAATTCTTTACTGTTGTAAAGAAATAATTTGTTGGCCATGGCACGCACCACTTAAGGATGTTCTCATTGCATTCTTAGCTTTTCCACTGACACTAAATACAACTCTTTGGAGCAGACTGAAGTATTTTGGTAGCTTGTGTTTCAGGTGTTTCTATCTTCCAGCTTCAATTTACAAATCAACAAGAAAAACCAATCCATCAGCCAGCTGAAAGCAATTGAATTTCCAAAAAACCACAGCATTTAGAAGCAAACTATTTTTCTTTTCTCATAATGTAATCTGGTAACTTAGCAAACAAACAGCTGAAGCTTTTTTTGTGTGTATTTTATTAGTTTTGCCACAGTCTGCTGTTTTCCTCATTCATGCATTGGATCTGACTGTACTTCTGCAAAAGATAATTATAGAGTTTTTATGAAAGGGGAGTTGTGTTACATGTTTTTAGACTTGAAACCTGGACTTATGCAAAAAAAAAAAAAAGTTACCTAAAGTGATATGTCACTGAGGTCACTGAGTTCTGTGGGCTCTTTATGAGCCATTTGTGCAAGGATCAGAGGCCAGAAGGAGTTGTGTAAACCATCTCACCATCTGATGGCCAGCATTGCACCCCTGAGCATTTGAATTCTCATTAACGCTGTGATAAGGCATAGCCAGCTTTTTACTCAGCCCCTTCTACCCATGGAAATAGAAGCTGTGCATTGTAAACAAGTCAGAAATTGTACTGTCAGATCCTTGGAAGACCTACCCAAAGATGCAAGCTGCAGGAGTACAGCTGTTCTCACCATTATTAAAAAATATACGTATTAATAAGACACCCAAAAGGAGTTTGACCAAAGTTTATTGTATTTCTGGGAAAGATAAGTGTTACTCTCAGTCATTCCAGCTGTAGGATATTCTTTTTGGGTCTGCAGGATATATGGACAAGTCCTACTTCCATTGGAGTCTCTGCACTATATGCTGAAAAAAGTCTGCTTAAAATCTAAGCACTGAAATCTTACCTTTCCCTGAACGTACCTAAATGAGCTGGCAGTAGGATGGATATCTTTAAAAGCAAAATATCATTACAGGTGTGTGGGACTTTCATAGCATGTCAGTAGCATTGAATGGAAAGGTCCTCACGTGCATTCCCATGGCACTGAGAGCTGAAGTATCATTGAAGAGGAGTGTTTAATTAGTCCTCTTTTTTTTTTTTTTTCATCCAGTCGTCCTGATTTTGCACATAAAGTGAGGAATTGAGCATCCAGAAGCATCCAGATAAAGCATGATTGAGATAGAGTAAATGAGAATTGGACTTATAAATACAGATAGTAGCATTTATTTAAAACTCTGGATTGTAGATACAGTGCAGAATGGAAAAGGTGAAGGTGGAGCCCTCGAGGTGTGTGCAGTGAGATGTGGGTCTGCTCAGGCTGTGCTGTAATCAGTGCAGTGCTGCAGGTCAGGAAGGAGCAGCCCTGCAGCGGTGCATCGCTGTGTTCAGTTATGGTGCTGTGGACCACTGGGCAATTTTTGCAGTATATTTTTGGCTGAAATTAAACCACTACATTCCATGGCCTTCTCTCCCCTCCCCTTCCTAAAAAACATAAAAAGTTTTCCTGAACGTTCAGAAAAAGGCATTAAAAAGCAAGCTTTGGAAGTGGGATATAATGCCGATATTCACGTGCATCTCTGCCAGCGCTTCTGCTAGCTTCACCCTCTTCAGCAAATGCTCAAATTCAACGAAAGGAAATGACATTGTCAATTAGTTTAGGTGTAAACTATTATTTAAATTATAGAATTATTTCAAGTATTTGTATAATACTTCATGCAGAAAATGGAAGCAAAGCCAACTTCTGCATGTTCAGCAGCAAACGCCGTCACGTCGCTTTGAGCGGTTTTGTTGTGTATTTAAAAGTGTTTGGGGAAGCTCAGGCATTGGAAGCTGGATGTTAAAATGTGTTCTATTTCTGTTTTCTGCTGAAGTGAAGTGGGTTCTCTTACATTGTTTCTTACTGGAAGAACTCTGCATGCATTTTAGGAACAGTTACAGAAGCACTTTTTGTAACTTCTGATTAGGTGATGAAACTTCTCCCGAATCAGCAGTCTCCACAGTCGTGATTAAAGCCCCTCACCCTCAGCAGGAAATGCTACAATTAAGCAATGGAATTGCACAAGAATAAATAGTTCTTAGTTTTACCATCTAAAAGCTAACAAATGGAATACTCTTAAGAATGGCTGTGGGTTGCGATGCTCCCAAAGTGCCACCTGGGGGTTTGGGGTGCACGGCTGGGTCTGTTCTGTGGGGGGAGGAGGAAGAGGCTGAGGAGAAAAAGGAAAGGATGAAGTGAGGAAAGCAGCGAGGGGGTTTTGCCTTGGTCCAGCAGAATTGCCTAAGACAGCTTGCTATACTTGATTCGCATACTTAATGAGTCTGATTCATTGTATTTTTTAGATAATTTCCTCCGGCTTTTCTGCTAAATTTATTAATCCGTTTTCCATTTTCATTTTTTAGTTTGGAAATGAAGAGCAGCAGCTGGCGTGGGCAAAGCGTGAGAGTGAAAAAGCAGAGCAAGAAAGGCTGGCTCGGCTGCGGAGACAGGAGCAAGAAGACCTCGAGTTGGCCATTGCGCTCAGTAAGGCCGACATGCCGAGCTCGTAGGGCTGCTGCGCGCCTCCCTGGCCGAGGGGAAGCTGCAAACGCGGCTTTTCAAAGATCCTAAGCTCCTGTTCTGTTGTGAAAATAATTCTAGTCACCTTCAACTCCATACAGGACTGCCTGGTCCAATCCAGCTGGGCTCTGCGCGGCTTTTCCAGTGCGTAATATGCAGGAAATTCTGTATTATATGTTCTAGGTAAAATTACTGCTTGTAAGGAACTTAACAGGATCTTAAGATACTGAAAACAAAGTTTCTTTGTCTTGAAGACAACATTGCATATATTAAACTGCACCTTGTGAATCTGGCTTATTACCTGACTGGTTTGAGGCTGCAGTACCAATTTCACAGAAAACGTTATAAGAAGATATTTATAGAACTAGCTTTCTCTTGCTGAGTTTATTTAATTATTCCTGGTAGGCTGATGAGCGCGTTATCTATGTCAAAGTCTTCAGCACAAATTCGTTATTAGATGGTCCCTTTCTATCCTGGATGTATGGCCTTTATGAAAGAATCTGGCGATTTACGTATGATGGATGCCAATACAGATAGTATCAAGTTCTCCAAATGTAAGAACTCTGTGATTTAGGAGGTTTTCTTATTTAAACACTTGTTCGCATTGGATTTTAATTGTAGGTGACATTGTAAAAAATGGAGTTAATTGTTGTAGTAAGATGGAGAAGTGATGGGTTGGCAGTTGAGTGACCAGGTAAAATCTTGCTTTATCTCATATGCAGATGTGATTACGGACTGTGGTAAAAGTTTGAGTGCTTCTTTCATATAGAATCAAACAACTGAATGCTCAGCAAGCTCCAGCTGAGTTCTGCCCTGCAGCTCATCATAGGTTGGCTCCATTTGCCAGAGCATAGATTGTATTTCTGTCATCCCACTGATGTGTGTGAGATTCTCTACCTCTGTTCCTTGAATTCCACCTATCTTATTTATGGGGTTACAGATCAAATGTTGCTTAGCTGTGATAAGGCCAGGGCCAGACGGATGTTACTTGCAACACAGCCATGCGTAACTCGTGGAAGTCCTGTAGTCTGGATTGGCTTTAAAGTGTGGCTGTGGTACTCAGTGCTTCCTCCTGGTAAGGACAGCAGTGTGTTTTATGTGTCTGATTTAAATAAGTCCTTACGATAAATCCGTGAATTATTTGCTTACTAAAACTGCCTTTTCTGATAACCACAGGAATTCTAAAGCTTCAGTTGTCTTCACCTTGGACCTCCATGTCTAACAGTGCAGAAGGCAGGGCTGGATGCTCTTTGTTCTTACTGGTGCAGCCTTTCTCTTGTAACGTTTTCTGGAAAATGTGCTGTTCCTTCACCCTCACTGATGCAGTTACATTTTTCTGCCCTCGCTTCCTTCCTTTCATTTTTCCTGACACAATGACAGTGCCTGCTTACTGAATGAAGGCAATCTTTCCCCGTTCTGTTGCAACTGCCCTATTCTGGATGCTTTCCTTCCCAGAGATAATCAGATTGGATTATTTTCATCTCATTGGTAGCTCTGAGTGTTGGTTGTATGAGGTGAGTGCATGTTTGTGTGTGCATCCACAACGTGCACATCCATGCCTTTACACCTGCAGCAGTACATCAGACTGAAAGCCCATCTCAGGGCGGTGTTGGCAGTCGCAGTGCTGTGCTTTGTCTCCTCTGCTGCAAACTGTGAACTTCTGATTTGCCTCAGAAGGGGAGACGATGTTCTGCAATACCAAAACAGCCACAGGATGACTTCAGTACTTCTTTGAGTGAACCCATGTGAGCGCAGTGGGATTTCTAATCTTACAGAGTCTGATTTGAGATCCCTTCTCAGTTTTCTTTGTAGTATATCAGATTAAATGATCAAACATATTAAAACATCAAGGCATTCTCTTTTCTGATGGTTTACAGGACTTAAAGTCTCTGAAAGCGAACTTGGTCTGTCTGTAGCTAACATGAGATCAAACTTGCTGTGAAAGAGTAATTTTCATAATTGAATGGCTGCAGTGTAGGAATCTCAGTGAAGTTAAACAAATTGTATTCATGAGTGAGAGTCTCCTTTTCATTTTCTTTTGGGCATGAGTCTTTGTAGTGTCTCTTCTGCTGTAATAAAACCCTGTTTGTATGCAGTGCCATTACAGAAAGGAAAACCACTTTTGGATACTACTCGGATGATGTCACTCCAGTGGGACAGGGCGGATGAGCTGAACAGCTTGATTCATTGTCTGTGTTATGTACCATAACGAGACTCTGTGCTGCTTTGTCAGTGCTCAGAAATATTGGCATTTATAATGCTTCTCAGGCAGGGATCGGTGTTTTCAAGTTGCTGAGCAGGAAGGCAGAAATGTGAATTAATGTAGCATTCCACATAGGGTTAGAACTAATTGCTCATTTTCCTGTTTCCTTATGGACTCATTCTTCATATTTGCTTCAGTAAGCAACAGAAGATCAAGCAAATTAGCAAGGACAGAATGTGTCCCCTCTGCACTGTAAGATCTCGTTACCTTCACTTTACTGAAATGCTTTTTACACAAAATTTGAGACACTGAAGTAGAGGAAAACATAGCTGTGATTTCTCCCTGTTGTGTATTTAAGACAGTTTTCCACGTAGAAAAGATGATTTCCCACGTTCTTCCCTTTTGCCTGTAGCCAAGCATTTTGTACCATAACTGCACTTGATTTTCTAAGCCAAAAGCTTTTATGGCAAGACATAGATCTCATTCTTCCTCCAGAACGGTGAAATTTGAAGCACAAATAGGCCTTTTGCTATTTGGGCAGATACATGTACAATGCAAGATATATAAAATGTGAGTATACACAATGCATATACAGTGTACATTTTGAGATCCGTATTATTAGTGTGTATATATATAATGTATTGTATAATGTAATAATAGTGTGTGTATATACTATACATGCCCACCTACTATACCTAGTATATAGTTACTTGTGCTGTACATAAAATGTGTATATACAACAGATATGTAGAATATGCATATATATTCTATATATTAGCATTTGTGTGTATGTATTCTCTGTAGAGAGATGGACACAAATGAAATCTGTACAGAAACACAGATGAGATTACGGCCCTTAGGATTTCAAAGTTCTGGTGAAAGAAAAAGAAAGAAAAGGAGGACTGACTGCTGTGAGTAAATTTGTTTTCAGATTGCTGTCATTGGCATGAGAAGCTGTGTTCACTCATTGTGCCAAATGTGAGTCCTGGCAGAAAGTAGGCATCATCTGCACGGGGTGTGAGTTCACATCCTTCGGAGTGTTTCAGCCCCACTCTTCAGTTGCTTTGCAGTGTAGGCTTCATTTCTGATCTTCTTGCATGTTTGGCCACGCGTTGTCTGTTTCTCGGGCTGAGGCTGTGATTTTTCTCTACGTTTGCTTGTATTTTCTTTTTTTGCCTTCTCTCCCTCCCTCCCATTTAAAAAAACCCAACAGCTACTTTAAGGAGCAGTTTCTCCCCCCCCCACACAGGTCACACATGGAAGTGCTGAGGTGAACAAAGTCTCCTCGCCTCATTCCAGTTACACAGGCTGCACTTCGTGCTCACCTGGACTTCGGTTTCCTCCATTTCCACCTGAGCTGCTCCTTCAGGAGGAACACCAGTGTGTTGGCTTTGGGGAAGGGATGGAGGTGATTCTACTTTCTTTTAGGACAAACGATTAGACTGTGGTACACTGAGCCAAACAAAGAGGTCAGTGGGCATTTATAGTGGCCTGTGTGTGTTTTGTGTGCAGTACTGTCCCTGCTGCAGTGACTCGTGGGAAACCAGGCATTGCACACAGCACTGAGGAACAACAGCTGCAGGGAAAGGCAGTTCCTCACGTGGAACCTCTGCATGCAAGCACTGCGTGTAGGACAGGTGCTGAGTTACTGTGTCCCCTTTCAGCCCAGTGTGTTCACATCTGCCTCCGGTGGGTTCCCTAGGACGTGGTCACAGCTCTTGCTGTAAAACACACCAGGCATTCTGCAGTAAAAGATGCTCATTAAAGTTGTACTTCTGTAATACTGCTGTATGGAGTGGTTTTGTGTTGGCCAACTTTCCCTTATGAGATCTCTGCCCTATGAGGACCGTTTGTCCTCTCTCACTCAGTGCTCCCGCAGCGTGGGACGTCCCGAGCTGTGGCTGCCCGTCACCTTTTTGTTCGTCTTTGAAATCTGTTGTTAGAAGTTCTGTAGGAATTATTTTGTCATCTTATGCTGAGAGATAATGCACTTTTCTTGGATTCTTCTTATAATCCTTTTGGGGTTACTATTTCTTCTTTAGTGTTTCTCCATTGAGAAGAGTATTTATTCTGTAGAACCACGGCCCAAGGAGTTTTGGTCCAGGTAGAATCGTTGCTTTCCCGATGTGTAAGAGTTTGATTTCTGCTGCCTTCTGCGTTTGATTCCTCCCTCTCAGGAATTCCACTTCTCTTTAATTCAGATGTTGAGTATCAGCTCTGTGGAAGTGATTTATCTGTGCTAATAACGTTCCAACCTCTTCCTACACCAGAGGAGCAGTGAAGCTGTTGTGTGTCGACCATTGCATCTCACCGTAGACTTCAGAACAAACATCTTTTCTTAGGAAGGAGTTTTGCTTGCAGTGTGGTGGGATTACAGGAGATTTATTTTTAGAGTATGTTAACTGTTATTCATTGACACACTTGTTTTATCAGTTGATCTACTGCTCTTTTTACTTGAAAGTTTTATAAATAAAGCAAATAAAGGCAAACTTGTTACAAAATGGAATTCTTCTTTTTGCAACTTCTGCTTTCCCCTTTAACTTCCAAAGGAAAACTCCTGGGGAATGGGGTTCCGTCAGCTGTTAGCATACTGTGCTCTTTCTGGTGTCCTTTCAGTATGATTTCCTTTAGTCTGACCTAAAAAGGGTGGAAACGAAGTGGAAACTGCAATGTTGACCTAAATTTGACTAATATCTCCAAAAATGTACATTATTGTAGTTATATTTATCTTTTGACGGTCGTAACGCATTGAAAGAAAGTTATTTTAATTTTAACCCACTCGTGCTTATTGTTTAATATAATAAGAGAAATGTTATTGTTTAATATAATAAATGAGAAGTTACTTTTTGGAGCTCTGAGCCCTTGGCAATCTTTCTTTCTGGTGTCACACACGTCGAGCTGATGGATCTCGCGTCCAGCAGCCGCCTCTTTGTGTGATCCTTTCCCTGTCCCTCCTGCTCTGCCCTCACCTCCCCGCTGTGCCGCAGCCACCTTTGCTCTGAGCTGAGCAGTCAGAAAAGCCGGCTGCGCCCTCCCCAAAGCACCGGTGGTGCTGCAGGGCTGAGCATCCCGGCCGGCTGTGCTGGGAGGGCTGTGAGCTCAGCAGGGATGAACTCCTCCTGCTCAGTGGAAAAACACACCTCACTGTCATGCAATCCTGCGTTATTCACTTGGACTCATTATTCTCCCATGTGTTTTATTTACTCTGCTCTGCACACACTGCCATGGCGAGCAGCAGCTTGCCGAGGCAGGTTTATCTCAAAATTGTTCTCCAGCAATATTTTTAGGTTGTTGCCATTTTGACGCCGGGTTTTGCTGCACTGTGGCATGAGCACTTCCTACCTGAGTTCTTTCATTGTGTAATTCCACCTATTCCCTTTCAAAAAATAACAACAAATGTGGGCCGCAGCTCTGCGTTTGGTCCCACTCAGCTTTTGGAAGCCGACCTGAACATCCCAGCCCAAAACTTCTCCACATTTCTGCCCCATCTGTGCTACCCATGGCCAACCCGGCAGCACTGCGGCACCAAGCGCCCGTTGGGGAAGGGTGGCTTCCAATGGAAACTCGCACGTAAAGCTGCTCCGAGCTCCGCTCTGAGCCTTCAGAGCAAAGGCAGCATTTGCTGATACGGCACCTCCTCCAAATGCTGCAGCTTTCCCTCCCGCTGACACTGCTGGCCCGGTGTGAGCGCAGCGCTCAGCTGCTCTGATCTGCCATCGCATCCCCAGCTGCGGGGGAGCAGAGCTCAGTGCTCCTCCACTGCCCCACATCCCTCCTGCTGGATGTAAAATCATCCATCTGCCCAACCCGGCAGTGCTGTCATTGTGCACGGGCTGTGAAAAACAAAAAAGGGGGTTGTTGGGATTTGAGGGTTTTTTGGTGTGTTTTGGTTTGTGTTTAGGCCTCAGGCTCAGTAGCTATCTTCTAATGTATTAAATGTCACAGGGGATGTCCAGTGGGATATTCCAGATGTTTCCTGATGATATCATGACAGGCCAGAACGCCAGGAATGCTCCAAGCTGTGCAAGAGCAAGAAACCAACGTGAGAGTGATTTAAAGGGGCACCGTATCTGACTGCAAGCCTCCAGCAGGTAACTTCACCCACAGCTTCTGTGCTGCCCAAGTTACGCTCACTACAAAGCATGGAATGCTTGTGATTGACTACAAGGAATTACAACTGAAGCAGGTAAATGAGGAGGTAAGTAATACAAACGGTGGTTGCAGCCTTTGTTGTTCCTGTTCTCCTTGTGCTTGGAAAGGTGTTTCTGTGAACGCGTCTTCGTTCTGTAAAGCGGTGCCTGTGACTCATTTTGTGTCTACATAAAATATTACAAGATCAAAAATTGTGGCTGAAAAGTCAGACTCAAAAGATGAAATCAAACGTTTTCAGCCCAACACAGTCAGGATGAATCCATCTCCTCTGCACTGGCAGCTCAGGGCTCCATTGCACGGCTAAAAATCTCACTCTGAAAAATGGACAGTTGGGCATTTGGGATCAAACAGTGCAGAACTTCACGGGGTCTCCAAGTCAAACCCATTCCCTCCTTTGGGTTGGCAGTGCTCGGCTGGTGGATCTGCCCCATCCTGTGGGTCCATGGTGAGGACGTGGCTGTTGGCCTTTGCTGGCAGCAGAGTGCAGCCCCTGGGCAGGTGGGACCCAAATGCACACAGCTGAGTGCAGCTCTTCGGCCCTCACCGAGGTCAGGAGGTTCACATACGGCACCGTGGGCATCTCAGACATTAGCAGCAGGGACAGCTCTCCCTGTCATATTACACAGGGTTTGGGTTGAATTTACCTCTTTGTGTTTCCCCCAACACTGCTCGTTACCATGGCGATGGCTACATGACTTTGTTGCGTTTGTTTTATTTAAATATAGCAAAAGAAATTGCTAACGCTTGGGATTCTGGCTCAGAAAATTAAATTTAAGCAAAGCTTAACAGCCACTCTCTGTTATAGGTGCACAAAATAGCTATGGAAACCACAGAGTTTCTACCACAGAAAACCACAGAACCACACAGTCCTATAATTTGAAGAACGGACAAACTTTTTTTGGCACTTCTTGTGGACGGAGGACCGCGGGTGAGCAGGAGGCAGCGTTTGGAGGCAGCCTGCAAACGGCCGCCAGCAGCCAGGGGCTGAAATCCCCCATCCCTGAGTGGGGCAACAACCACCCTGCTCACAGCGCTGCCCTCCCTGCTGCCATCCCCTCGCTTTGCTGGGATGGACAACGGGAGCAGGACAGCAGGAGGGCTCTGCCTCTGCTCCCGTTTTGGAGTTTAACCCCCTGCCTTTGGAGCTGGCTGGGCTGAGCTCGGTGCCGGCTCAGCGCTGGGTGCTCCCTGCAGAGCAAAGTGGGCTCAGCGCCGTGCGGAGCATCGGAGCGCAGCGCCCCGGCTGCGGTGTGGGATGGATGGAGCTCGGAGGCTGCGTGCTGTGCTCACGCTCAGCAGCGTTTGCTACAACTTTCACTTGGAACATTGTGCAGGATTTGTTCATTTCTGTGCTCGGCTTGCTCTATCTAATCTACCAATCTATCTTGCAAGTAGATTGAGCCCATCTCTGTGGTATCTCATAAGAGTATGTGTGAAAATGTTGTTTACAACGGACTCTTTGTTTCCTCCTATCGGGTTTGACAGCACCTTTTTTTCTCCCATCGTCCCATCCTGGGGTGCTGCTGGTGCAGACGGCTCCTCCCGCCCCTCCACGGTCCCCCTGTGCTCCAGGAGCTGCTCAGGGCCGTGGGTCCCTCGCCTCCGTCAGACTCACTCCAACAACTGGAATGGCGATGTGCTGCCACAAAGCGCCTGCGGAGCGCTGGTGCTCTCCTGCTGCCCAATGGGCGCATGTGGGCCGGGGAGCTGCACCACGCGCTGGATGTCCTAATTTGAAGCAATTAACAAAAGAGTTGGCAGTTACTCATAATAGAATATGAGAGAGATGAGATCAGCATCTCTTTTTTTTCTGCTATGAGATTATCTTGAGATTCACAAAGCTGCAGCTTCCTGTGATGACCACACTGAAGTTCTCAGACGTCCCCTCCCTCCGGCAATTAGAACAGAGCTGGTGATGAACCTTTATTGGGTTATTGAGTTGTGCCCCTCATCCCCCCCATCTTCAGGGGTCCGTGTTGATATATCGTGATATGTCCTTCATTTATGTTTCTCTATGAGGGGGTGGCCCTAAGCTCAGATATGCCCCTATGTTTGGATGCATTGCACTGCATCTGAAAGCAGCCCGGTCATGACCCGCTTGTTGATAGGTGGCATCTCCACCGCTGGTTACGATGTGAGATAGCAGGGCCTCATCGGGAGCCCTGTGAGCGAGGGGAGCGGGCAGTGCGGGCTGCCAGCCTGAGCCCAGCGAGCCCAGGGCAGCGAGGGCTGCAGACCTCAGTGCGGGGAGCGGCACAGGGTGACAGCCGAGGGTCCTTCAACTCAAACCACCCCGCGGTTCTGTCGCGCTCTGTGCTGCAGAGGAGCGGCGGGCGTTGGCTTGAGGGCTGGGGGACGTTGTGTGCTTTATCCGTGTGTGCAGACAGCGCAGGGCTCACAGCTCTGCACCCGTTGGGTCGTAGCTGTCCCTCCCCCATGTCAAAGTGGCCAAGGGCACGCGGCCCGACGTTCTGCTCCCGTGGAGGTTGGTGAGGAGCTCCGGTGCTCCCAGGCTCTGCCCAGTGCTGGAGGGCGGCGCTGGGACTGAGATGAGGGCGGCTGAGCTGCCCCCACTCCCCGTGCTCCTCACTCCATCACCGAGCGGCGCGGTGCGAAGTGGCACTGACAGCTGCCAGGACCCAAACGTTCCCAACTCTTCCCACAGAGCAAAGGCAGAGCGCGATGGGGAGCGGAGGGGTGAGGGTTCCTTTCTGAAGGTTCTAGGCACCAAAACTGTGCTGAAATCTGAAAATCTTCAGCTCTGGGGAAAGAGAAGGAAATACCTCGAACTGTCGCAATGCCGCACGTGCTAAGTTTAGTGTGCCTTTCAGTCATCCCCACTTTCTGGAATCAGATTGTGCAATTTTTTTTTCTCTAGCAAATAAATGAGTTTTGTTTTTAATGAAGAAATGTTAAATCTCCCTTATATTTCACTTTGAAAGAGCTATAAAAGTGAAATGTGGAACTCATTCTTCCATGTGGATGATTAGAAGCCCAAAGTACATCTGTTCCACATGAACAACTGCAGGCTTTGCTGTCACAGAAGGACCTCTATTTTTGTACTTTCCATGTATTCCTGCTGATTCCATTCCTGTGTGCTGCACTGCGAAGGCAGAAAAAGTCACAGTCCAGACTGGAATCAAACTGCAAGTGCTTCAGTGTGAGGGCAAAATGCTCTGATGTTAAGTTAAACCTCTGCATTTAACAACAGTGAGTTTGGTGCAGCAGTATCAGGGCTCACAGCCGAACTGCTGCTGGGAAACCAGAGGATCCTCATTAGAGCTGCAGAGTAATTGCATAAATACAGCATTTGGATGGTGATCTCACTTACAGCTGCGGAGGAGCTGTGCACTGCAGCACCATCCACTTCAGTGCAAAGCAGCTTTCAGACTCCTGATCACTATTTCACTTCTCCTCCAGAACAGTGAATACCTTTCTTAGCTGCTGAGAGCCGGGTACGACTCAGAATTATGAGGTGAATTTTGGTTTTTGGGAATGAGTTATGAAGGTATTTGAACCTGCGCTGTGAATTTATGTTTAAATTCCACCACTGTTCTATTGGAATTCTGCACCGAGCTCTGGAGAGCGGCAGTAATTTATGTACGAGGATGCCTTAAAATAAGCCTCCGTAATTACAAAAATGCAGTGTTTAAATTTATAGTAAAAACCCACACACTGCTGGCGAAACTGTA